AGTGGTAGCTACAATACTGCATTTTATGAATAGAATGTCGTATTGGAAAAAAAAATTTAAAATAAGAGAAGATTTGCATAATTAGAAATAAAATTCTTAGCAATATGACAAATATTAATTTTAATAAGAGTTTTGGGCAAGGACACCATAAAGGAACATGTGAATGACACAACTAAGAAAATGAAATGACTGTGCAAGTGGGATTTTGAAACATGGAGACAAAACAAAGAGAACATTTCTCAATGATAATTTTAATAATAGAACAAAGAAAATTGTAGGGTATCAAGTCTTGAATCTTGGAGCTTAAGTTGGTGTTATATGCTTGCAAACTTCCAATTCTATGACATCTTGATTACTATATTAGTAGTTTTACCATTTCAAATGTCTTTGGAATATGTTCTTTATTTTTCTCCCTGTTGGAAGTTGTAACATAAGAAGAGTATTTTAACATTTTTGTATGATATGAAATATAAAATAAATTGCAGAAAAGGATGTTCTATTTCCTGTTCATATGTTCTGGTATAGATATTATCAAAATGTTTTTTTATATTTCTGCTATTAATTATTAAAATAAATGTAAAAGCCTTAAATATATTGTTATATGAATACAAAGCTGTTCGGTTTCAGTTCTTTTATAAAACTTAAAAACACGAATTTAGTAAAATGCCATTTGAAACACTCTCTTAAATACACAATTAATTATCAATTAAAATTTATTAAAAATTATAAAAATAATAAAAAACAATTTTAAAGTAAAAAAAAAAAAAAGATTCATATAATTTTTAATAAATTTTTAACAATAATTAAAAATATATTAAAACAATGCGTTAAAAAAATGTAATGCTATCTTACTTCGAATTTGATAATATCTCTTTCAAGTATATTTATCTTTAATTATATACTTATAACTAGTTTTGTATAAAATTGTTTTAGGTCTAATAGGAAGGTCCAATTTATATCAAAGTTTAGTTCGGATAAATTTTTATAAGAGAAATTAATAAAATTACAATTATAAATTTATAGTTTAGATTCTATTTTTAATCTTTATAATTAATTTTTATATTTAAAAACTTACATTTTAATTATTGTATAAGTGTTTTTTAACATTTTAATCTTTACCATTATAATAATGTTAACAACAAGGATCATTACATAATAAAAATATTTATATGAAGACTTAAATATAACATTTAATAAAAAAATTAAATATTTAGTTAAACTTACACTTTTTATATGAACGATACGGATTATTTATTATATATATATATATATATATATATATTATATCGTTGATATACTAAAATATATTTTAAATAGTAATTTTTTATTGCTAATTACAACCTTAATGTTAACAATATCATAATTATAAAAAAAATTCTTTACAAATTTAGTACTATGTTTAGTTTGAAGGTTAATTTGATAAAATTTCAGGGTTTATGCTTTGTTAGCTTTGACTAGTATTAATGGTGGAAAACAAGTCAACTTTACATCTACCTCAAGTAATTATTTTACTTCCTTAGATAAGTATTTAGGTTTTTCAATGATATCAAGTAGAGTGAAAAAATATACTTTGACTTTATTATGAAGAAAATTCAATATAAGCTTACTATTTAAAAGCCTAGTTTCTTTAATAAAGTAGAGCGTTTAATTCTAGTTAAGTTAGTTATTATGACGATCCTTACATACTACCTATAAATATACTGACTGTTGCAATCTTAATCTATTTGTCACTCAATTGATAAGTGTGTGGTAATTGACTTTGGAAGAATAATGATAGAAAAGAAATTAACCTCATGAACTAAAATGCACTCACTCATAAAACCCAAGATGATGGGCTTAGTCTGTGAAAAACTAGGAAAACTAATGTGATTTTATTGAGTAAAAGAGTTTGGAATATGATGAACAAAAAAAAAAAAAACTTTGGGTCCAATTGCTTATAGAAAAATATGTAAAAGAAGATAAATTATTATATTATACTAAAGATGGAGTGTGTCACTCTTGACAAACAATAAAAAATGCTAAAAATATTATGCGGGATGAGTTTAATTTTTGACTTGTTAATGGACAAGTTTCTTTGTGATATCATAACTGGTCAAGACTAGGCAAATTATGTGACCATGATCCCTATGTCAACATTGAAGATATAAAGTTGTAGGTTAAGAACATTTGAACACAATTGAGGTGAAATTTTTCTCAAATTGTCACTTTGATACCTACATCAATTACCTTAGTTATTCATCAATCTAACTTCACAATTATTAGTTATGTTGAGGACAAGTTTATTTAGTCAAGTATTTTAGATGGCAGTTATATATAGCTAAACATGATTTTACCTAACTTGTTGATAAGAGAACTCTGTACTAATACATTAGTTAAAAACGAATTTAGCGTCTTTCTTGTGGTGAAAAGATTAATTTTCTAATTTGACTTATTTTTTGTGATGTTTTTCTCACAAATTACTTAAGGCATCATAAGAACTTGACACCTTCACCCCTTTATTCAAGATGTCACACTTACATTGAGAACACTCTCCATTGTATCAGATACTGTAAGGCAGCTAAGGAAATGTGGATTTGTACTGGTCTATGGACTAAAGGATTTGTAACTATATAATGCTAACAACTAGATTATGACTCAACATAAAAGCAATCCTCCCTTATTTTCAGCTACACTATCGTGGATATGAAGGGCTAGAAAAGGCTAATTGCATTACTGGAAAAAAGATCTCAATTTACAAATTTATGCTTTATATTATGAATCTTGTCAATTAACTTCATTATATGAACAAGTGTAGTAATCTCAAACTTATTTGAAACATTGGGTTCATTAGGAGGCTAATAAAAAATTTGAATTCATCTTTAATATTGATAGGAATACTTAAGGAGCTGGAGAAGAGCTAGTTTCGGTTCTCTTATTAGAAATAAGGATGGAAATTAACTTAAATGAGCTTTTGAGTTCATTGACATTTTTTATAATACCCATGTTGAACTCATAATCATGCTTTAGGGTATAAAAATAGCTTGGAATCTAAATATCAATAATCTATTTTATTACTTTTATGCAATGGAGGTCAAAAATCTCATGATAATTTTTTTTTACTTTTTCACAAGTATGCTAATCTCATTTAGGATATAAAGGAGTAACCAAGAAAAGATTAACAAATCACTATCAGACATTTCACACACCTTACATAAGGGCAATACATGTGCAAATTTTTTAGCAAAATTAGGAGCTTCCTTATATTGTGATTTCAAAGATTGAGTCTCACCTCCTAAAGATTTGAAATTACTTCTTAAGGTTGATGTCAGGGATACAACTTTTAGCTAGTGTAGTGTGTTAACGATCAACAAATTCTAAATTAAATATTTTTCATTGTAATGGAGTTTTGTTTTAATCCTTTTTATGTATATTAATTTTTAATTTGATTTTCAGATAATTTCTAATCAAAATGTAACTGAAACTTCATATATACATATATATTAAAAAGTTTAGTAATTATGTATTTTAAAATAAAGTTGACAAAAGGTAAAAGAACAAAAATTATACGTTGTTTTATTTATTAATTAAAATTTTAATTTAATAAAAATATTTATATTTAATTTAGTTGCATATTGCTATAATGTCAGAATTTTAATTGATAAACAACACAAAAGAGATGATTAGCGTTACTTTAGGGATGGAGAGGAGTTGGAGACATCAAACCCAGCAAAAGAGAAAGGAAAAAGACAAACAAAGAAAAGAGCATCAAATGATAAGCCTAAGCATTTCTCATTTTCACCATCATTACTTAATTGCTAATCAACCAAACCACCGTTTCCAAATACTAACTCAACTTCACAAAGAAATTTTAAAAAGCATCCAAAAAATTGCAAACCTAAACTTGAATTTGATAATTATACATTTTAAATGATTAAAAATTTTATATTTTAACTTATTAAAATTATTTATCTTCTTTATATTTTAATTTATAAGTATTTTATTAAATAAAATAACACACATAAATTTATATTTTTATTTTAACAATTGCGCATTATACAAAAATGGAATTTGATCATTTTTAATTTATTTACAATATATGAGCTATCTATCTCTTTCACAAATAGTAAATATTGTTGTATTTTTTTTTTCTATTTTAGACTTTTTTTTTCAAACAACTATATTAAAACTTACTACATAATTTTTTGAAATTAAAAATATGTTTTTTTAATTATATATAGTTTTTAGTTAATATTTATACGAAAATTTAATAATTTTTATATAATTTAATTTTTTATCATTAAAATTGAATATTTTAAATTTAAGATAAAGGAGAGATTATATAAAAAAATAATACCAAGGATAAAAATGTAAGAAATACTTTGGGGCAAGAGTTGAAAAGCTAAAACTTACCTAAGTAGCGTTTTTTTTATAAAAAAATTACTAGCTACAAATTTCAATTACTTTAATAAATAGAATAATTATACTTCAATAGTATTTACGATATTAAAATAAATTTTTAACTAACTAAAAAGTTTTATAAATATACTTTGCTAATAAATATTATAAAGGTACATGTCACACGATAAATTTAGATATATGCCATGTTATAAATTATTTTATAATTTAAAATTTTTAAAAACTTATCACTAAACTAAAATCTACCATAATTTTTAAAAAAATTAAATTTCACTATATTAATAAATGTTAAAATATATTTTTTAAGTGCATATATTACATTAATTTAAGTTATATAAATAAAAAAATTAAATATCTTTGAATTAATATAAACTTTTATAAATAAATTATAATTTGTATGTTAATTATTATAAAAATTAATAATTTTTATTGATATGATAAATCATGATTGAAATGACAGTGCAAAATTGGCAGTATTTAGATTAAATTTAAAATAAATATAATTTAAGCATAATTGTCTCTTAAAAATTATATAAAAACTAAAAAGAAACGAAAATAAAAATTGTCTTAATATGAACAGCTCTACACAGCACATTCCCAAGTCTGGCCAATAAAACGTTATATTCTCTCTCTCTCTCTCTCTCTCACGATCATCCTTTGTTCTTCTTCCTCTTCACTCCTCCCTCTTTCTTCTATATAATAATATTACAGTGTCACAAAATACACATAGAGAGGAAAGAAAAATAGAACAGGAAATCCTTGGACACACAAATCACTTTAAGGAAACAAATATGGGACTGGGAGGGTGTCACATGGGTTTGCTCTTCTTTTCTTCTCTGCTTTTTCTTCTCTTGCCTTCTACTGGGTCACTCAGAAAAAACTTACCCATCATACCCTTTGAAGAAGGATACACACCCTTGTTTGGGGACAGTAATTTGCTCATTCATAAGGATGGAAAATCCGTTCATCTTTCACTCGATGAAAGAACAGGTTCTCTCATCTTTCATCCACTTTTCGATTTTTCTTTTTCAAATACGGTGATGTTTTCGTTTTAATTTTTTTTTAAATCTTTCAGGTTCTGGATTTGTGTCTCATGATCTTTACCTTCACGGCTATTTCAGCGCTTCCATTAAGTTGCCTGCTGATTACACTGCTGGTGTTGTGGTTGCGTTTTATGTGAGTGACTGCTTCTAACACATGATCCAATCCAAAAATTATTTTTCTTATTATTATTTCATACCCTTTTATAGAAATTTAATCATCTATCATAATTATATAAAGGGTACAATTTTTTTTCTTTTTTTTTCCCACTCCTTCGTCAAGATTTCTCTCTTTCACTTTGGTAACTCAGTCAAGTGTTATGACCCTTCATATCGATTTTTTTCTTCTTCTTCTTCATTTGTCATTAACTAAGGTATAAAGTTGAGAACATGATGCAACCAGCTGTCGTGGTTTTCCAGAAAGCGTTTTCAGTTTCATTTTCTTCAGTCTCATTATCACTAATGGAGACAAAAGATAATAATTTCTTTTCGGTTTTGACCCTTTTTCTGAGGCAAATTTCAATTTTTTTTGTTTTTATTGTTGAAATGAAAATGCCAGTTGGTATGTTTGTCTTCTTTTTCCTTTTGAACGTATTTTCCCAGAAATTAGGTGGCAAAAGTCATTTATTGCTCATTTTTTCTGCTGCAGATGTCCAATGGTGACATGTTCCAGAAAAATCATGATGAAATAGACTTTGAATTTTTGGGAAACATTAGAGGCAAAGATTGGAGGATTCAGACTAATGTTTATGGTAATGGAAGTACCAGCATTGGTAGAGAGGAAAGATATGGTCTCTGGTTTGATCCTACTGATGATTTCCATCAATACAGTATTCTATGGACAGATTCTAAGATCATGTAAGAAATCTTATTTGAATCCCACGTGCCATATTTGGTTATTTGGTGTTCTATTTTAGATTTTATATATCATGCCTACATTTTCCTTCTTATGGTAAAACTAGTTTCTTTACCTGTCCCTATTGTTGCCTTTTATATTCTAGCAATCCCTTGCTTGTGTGTTGATATTTGATGGCTTTTGTTGCTGGATTGGTGGTGGGGTTTTGTTCAAAGATTCTCTGGTTTTCTTTTACCGTTTACTACATCCACAGTTTTATCAAAAACCAGTTTTTTCCCCTAATGGGACTTGTATGTACAATTTATGCATTGATTACTTGCTGATAATGAATAAAAACCAGATATGAAAGGACCTAATTTTTAAATTATATATATCCTTGTAGAGAGGAACCCACAAGATAAAAATTTGGTGGGATGTGTGACCCACTAGATAAATTCTTAGTTGTTGGAGAACTATTTTTGTCTACCTAAATTCATGAAATAGTAATCAATATTCATTCCTTAGTTACTATGGCTGCTACTACCAAGTGGGTCTCATCTGTCCCTTATATAGGATGAAATTATTCTGGATTTCCTTTTATGTCCCACCATGTTACTTAATTGACTACTTTGTATTGCTTGATTTGATAATTATTTGTGATTTATTTTTATCCTGATGCAGATTTTATGTGGATGATGTTCCTATTAGAGAAGTGAAGAGAACAGAATCTATGGGAGGAGATTTCCCCTCAAAGCCAATGACTTTGTATGCCACCATATGGGATGCATCTGATTGGGCGACCAATGGAGGCAAATACAGAGTAAATTACAAGTATGCACCCTATGTTGCTGAGTTCTCTGACCTTGTCCTGCATGGTTGTGCAGTTGATCCTATTGAGCATGTGGCCAAATGTGACACTGCTCAAGGTTCTGAAGCAGTTCCTTCTGGTGTCACACCAGTACAAAGAACTAAAATGGACAACTTCAGGTTGAAGCACATGACATACTCTTACTGCTATGATACAGTGAGATACAAAGTCCCTCCACCAGAGTGTGTGATCAATGGCCAAGAAGCTGAAAGGCTGAGAAAGTTTGATCCCGTGACGTTCGGTAATGGCCGGCGCCACCATGTAAAGCGGCACCGCCGCAGTAAAGTAAGCCAGGAAGAGGCTGCTTCATTTTAATATATGTAGTTCCATATGAAGATTTTGTCATAAAAGAAATGTTTTAATCTTTGATCCTGTTTGATTTACCTGGGTTAACAATATATATCTTTTTTCCTTTCATTTTGGTGTATAGAGAGAGAGAGAGAGAGAGGTTTGGACATACAAGTCCTTAATATGATAGTTTATGATATATGGTTCTTGCTGGTGGTCTTTTGTATAGTCCCTCATCCCTTCAGGTTCCCAGGTATTTCCTCATTGATGTCTTATGCAAATTGAATCTCTTGATGATGATGATTTATGTATTTAGAAACACCTCAGGGTTTCAATAAACTAAGTTTTGGATGAGGATGGGTTATTTAATGAATGTTAGGTGAATTATTTTTATGTTGGTATGCCACATCCAAAATGAAACCAACCAAAATGGGTTTTATATTTAGTCCATGAGTGGTACTGAGGTGTGTTGGACTGTGGAAAATTACAAGGTCATATTTGTCAGCTTAAGGACATAAAATGTGGCCATTTTGTCAATCTAATTGGAATCCAAAGTCAAGCTTGAATGTGACAAATGCTGCTGCAGCTAGCTGGTTTGTTTACTGCTGCTTTCATTAAATAGTGTGACCAAAGTTTCTCTCTCTACTTTTTCTTTCCAATGCTTTTGTCTTCTGCCGTATACTTGATAATTTCAAATGGGCAGTTGGGATCTCTATAGATACTGCTTACTGCTTATTCTCCTGCCTGTTATCCTATTGCAGTCACCCGCTTTGTTCCAAAACCAAAAGCTCAAAATTCTGTCTTTCATTTTTCACATAAGAATAACAACTTGTCCTTGATTTTATAATTAATTCTTATAAACAAAAATTATTAGTATTTAGGCTCTAATATTTTAAAGAAGTAAAATATTAGTCCTTGTTAGATATTCACGTTTAATATTTTTAATGATATGGGCTAATTTTTTATTCTTTTAAAATATTAAGAATTAAATACTAACAAATTTTCATAGGGACTAACAGTGTTTGATAATATAAGCAGATAATTAGTAAGCATATAACTTTTATAAGTTAGCATATGAAAAATTACTTCTAGTAAAATTCTATTTTTTAAAAACTAGCTTTCGATATATTTTTTTATTTTTATCATTTTCTTTGCAAATAATTTATATTTATACAAATAATTTTAACATTTTTTATTCATGTAACACATTTTAATTTATTCTACAATTAGTTCTAGGCTACATACTTTAGCTAATTTTACTAAATAGAACCTAATAATAATATTTACAGAAATTATAAACTTATCTAACTCTAATAATAATAATTGTGCATTTTGCCGCTGACCCAATCACTAATTGAGATTACTCAAGCTAATAATATTGTTAAGGAAACGAATTCCATATGACTGAAACTGTGACTTGTTTAAGGGGAGAAGATTATATATTTTAAGTTTTCAGAAAAACAATGTGTAAATACTTTGACAGTGAACAGTTTTTCTAAGCCAAGTTTTTGACAAAATCTTAGTTGATCTGATATTTTTCTTGTGATATTTAATTAACCGACCTACTTACCATCTTGGAAACTATCATTTCATGTCATTAATTTGTGTTATTAATGATAATATTAGTACAAGTAACTAATCAATGACAACCGCTCTACTTTTAAAAGCATTTTGGAAAAGTAATAGCACTAGTTTGACAAATGTCTGAAACTTTTCTTGAATGCAAAAAATAAAAATAAAAAATCCTTGATAAAGCAATGTTTGCTCCATTGTGTTGATTGAAGATTGATTGCAACAAAGGGAAATACCCTTTCGTATAATGGAGTAAATATGAACTGTAGCCATGTTTAAAATAATATATTGTTCCCCATTTTAGGGGGAAGCAGAGTCCAAATTGATGATGCAAGGTGCAAAAAATAATGCATAACTGCAACCTGCAACGATTATATTTGACTTGGCCTTGCATAGGAGGCAAGGGATCATAACCACAAAAATCAATGTCAATATGACTTTTTGTTTTAAGTACCAAGATCAGAAATAATCGAAGCTGATTATCATATCTACAAAATTAAATTTTCAATACTCAACTTGTCCACTAGACAGCTAAAAAGATGAAATGATGGAAACAGAAGTTGCTTTTTTAAATTTCTCTCAGAAATTTAGGCCATAGAATGAACATGCTTCTCCTTTGTCACAGGCCATCTTACTTCTCTTCCCCCATTGGTTGCCTTTATTTTTTAGGATTCTATTTTTTGAAAAATTTCAAATTTCAGCCTTCATATCTAATCTGATTGTGTTAAGAATAAGTGCCAATTTAGTTGAGTTTATAGTAAAATTGATTTTTATGATACTGATTTAAACTATTAAATGTGATTTAGATATGTCCAAATTAATATAAAAAATATTTTCTAACCCAAAAACAAACAAGACTACAGATAAAGCTCCTTTAAAATTAGTTTGTTTGTAAAACAAGAAAGTTAGACATTATTTACTTCTAATTTAATTCAAAATACATGATGATACTACCTATGTAACTCATAAAAATTTAAGCATGATTAACAAACAAGGAGTATCTGTTTGTAATTAGCTCTAGTCCCCATTTGCATGTAAGCCTTCTGGTTTTTATTTTTTATTTTTTCACATTGCATGAAAAATGATTAATAAAATCATTTTTTCATATATATTTTTATTCAAGCAGGATTGTTTCTCATAAATGATACGTGCAAAATAAACATTTATTTCTAATTTTTTAGAGAGAATACTTTCAAGGAAAAAAAAATCTCTAATATGAAAGATAAGAATAGTGCTTCAAATATGTTTGGGCAGAGGAGAAAAAGATAAATATGGTTGGCTTTTGAAAATTTTAATATTGTATGTCTTTATATTTGTTTAAAGATTTTTGGGCATCTTATAATTTTATTATCCAACTCACACCTGGTATTCAGTACACTTAGATTGCTTCCATGTGAAGACCAAAAACCTTTGCCTGAAATACAAGCAAACTCTATCGACCCCAGTACGTTAATTGTGAAAATAAATATCACGTGGTTAAAATTCAGTAACCAAACTTATTATACTTATCCAATAACACATACTGACTATTTACATGCATGAAAAATTGACTTTACACTTTAGTTTAAAATCAAGTTTCTAAATTTAAATGTAAGGTTTTTCAAAAATTACCTGTAGTTAAAAAGTCTATAACTTTATTTGAGAATTAATTTTTGAGAGAAAAAAAAATTATGTGATAATAATTTGTTTAAAATTTTTTATACAAGAAATGGAAGTTTCGTAAACTTTTCAAAACTCTTGTAATATTATATTTCTAAAGTCTTTAATTTAGAGTTTTGTATTGACTTTCCTTCCTCCTCGTCTCTTTTCATCTACTCTCTTATTTTTAAATCTCTTCTGATCTCTTTTACTCTTCTGATTTGCTTCTTCTAAACTCCCAAACAAAGCATATTTTAGCCATAAACTTCTGATCTCTTTTCAATTGCACACTGTCATCTTCATACCTCACGAGCCACGTCTCAGCTATCACAGAAACCACTACTATCATATTACTGCGTACTGACTTTGCAAATTGGAAACCTTTTCCTGTGTCTCGCAAACAGAAAACTCACGTGAAGTATATATTTTTCCAACTTCTATTGAACTATTAAACGTCTTATGACACCATATTTTTGGTGTAGAACATCACATCACATATTTCCATTCTATTATACAACTGCATTGACTTTTTAAAAAAAAACCTTTTGCAAATCTAGTATTATCATCAAGTATAAGATTTTGTTTTAAATTCATCGTGACATTATTCACAATGAAATCTATCTTGCGTTGATTTTCAAAATTATCCCCATGTTCATTGAGAAACCAAATTATTAAATAACTTCATAGTGAAATTCTTTCCTCTCAATTTTGTTTGGCCATAGTGCAACCTTAGCTAACCCATTTGTTGGGTCTCTCTCTACATGTAAAAGTTGCCACTAACACCTCTTCATTCACATCGTATGTTTGCTCGCAAATAAAACATATATTAGATATTTTAATGTTCCTACCTTTTATGTCCACAAATCTTAATTACTCAAGGAAGAAGCTATTAAATACTCTACGAGTTTTCGAGATAATAAATCCATACAGTTCTTTTACTGTATAAAGTAACAGAAGAATTATTAGGAGGATAGAAAAGCTCAATATATATACAAAGGTACAGGGAACCAACAATAAACTAAAATGAAATTTATTAAGTTCAGGAAAAGGAAATAATAAAGATCAATATCAGGCCAATGTTTTTTCCCTACCAAACTTTGCTATGATATCATTCTATACTGTGGTCTGACAAAGAAGTTAATTTTTTTATTTCCTTTCAGGTTTGCTGCAGAATTTCAAACTGTGTTCATGTATGAGCCGTCAAGCCACAATTTTATTATACGCTAAGCATTTGGCATTAATGAAATATTGTTTCAAGAACCACCAGCCTCCTTCTTCTCTATAAGCTTGACAAAATTACGGACAATTGTCTTGCCTTCAGGGGTTATAATGCTCTCTGGATGAAACTGAACCCCCTGTAGTTACATGAAAGTAAAGTTTTGAATGTGGAGAAGGGAGACAAATAGCAAGTTCAAAGCCAAAAAGAAAGCATAAAGTTCATATCAACAGAATTCTTTATTGCTAACTAGGGATGTGTGTGTAAGGTGAAGGTTTTGAATTGATCGCAAAACACTACCAAAAGTAGCTAAGCTTTCTACAAAGTTATAATTAGATAGAATATTGATCTATTGAGATATTCCCCTACAAAGTATAAGCAATGAAAAAATAGGTGACAAGATATAAGGGTTGTAATCGCACTAATCCAGAACAAACATTTATACGTGGTAGAATAAAGTACTTTTACTATGTGATTTGAGGCTGGATGACAGAATACTGCAGGTTCTATAGAGAGTGTACGTAGTTTCAAGACTCATGCAATCACCTTCATAAATTACCCAAATTTGCATGAGACTAACATTTACATTGATTTACTTGAACTTTATATTAAATACCTCTTGAACATGGAAAAAGTAATAAAGTACATGCCAAAATATTGGAGAGGATACCGATGTAGCTATGGAGGACATCAACTAAACTCCATATCAAGAATGAACCAAATTTCACTGTTTTCCTCTATTTGTGTTTAGGATACAGATTCCTCCTAGATTGTAAAACAAAAATATCCTAAGGGAAATATTTAGCCTCCACTAAAGGAAGACCAAGAATCAGCAGTTATACTTTAACTAGTTAAAGCTACAATATGAATATTTCAATCTCATATATTAATCATCCAGTTCCAATATTCCCTGTTTATTTATTGTTCATGACAGGGATATCCATTTAATGTTCCTTCATTAATTAAACCATACAATAATTTAGACGAAGGTATTTTACATTGATACTAATAGTAGAAAATTATAATTAGATAGAATATTGATTTAATGCTGAATAAGATAACACAACTGCAGGAAGATTACGATGTTACCTGTACGTGCTTATATTTCCTATGACGAGCAGCCATTACAAGACCATCTTCTGTCCAGGCTGTTACCTCGAGTTCATTGTGAGGAAAGCTCTCTTTTTCAATTACAAGGCTGTGATATCTACCAGCCAAAAAAGGACTGGAAAAGATATGATTTTAACAGAGCAAAAATATGTCAGACCTCATAATAAACAGTTGAAAACAAACATAATGCAGCAGCTGATAAGTGATGACCAATGGTACATTATATGAGATTGTATTAGAAAAATTGGAAACAATGGAGAACAAAGCTCCAGTATTTCATTTAAAAGTAATAAAAACTTTACTTTGATAGTCCAGCAAGTAATCCGTCTTCTCCTTTCTCATCATAGTAAACCAAAGAACTTTTTCCATGCATGACGCCAGAAGGAGCACGAACAATCTTCCCTGCACAGGATAAAAGGAGAAAGTCTTGATCCTTTGTGACAGCCCAACCAAAGGGAAGAAATGGATTTGAGAGAGGGAGATTAAAGGGTAAAAGTAAAAATGCTTGATTCTTGCTGAAAGCCACATTAATGATGAATAACAGACACCGATGTCAAGAAAATTTTACACTCATTTCCATGAACCTAATAGATCAGTGGCTACGGGGATTACATGGAATCCATTAAGACTCACCTCCAAAAGCCTCTCCCATGCACTGCAAACCCATGCACACACCAAACACAGGTACAATTGGTCCAAGTTCCAAAACTGTTTGCAAAGAGATGCCTGAGTCTTGAGGCGTCCCTGTGAGGATGAAGCTGTAAATTAGCTGTATTGTGTATCCAAACATAGATCATATATAGGGTTTATTTATTAATTAACGAATTAACTAGTAATCTAGAAACATAAAAGCAATTGAAAATTCTAAAGAAGCCAAGCCTAACCTGGTTTATTAATTAACGAATTAATTAATAATGTAGAAACCTAAAGCAATTGAAAATTCTAAAGAAGCAAAGCCTTACCTGGCCCAGGTGATATCAGCACTCCCCTAGGATTTTTCCTATTCAAAAGGCACAAAATAAAATAAATAAAAAAACACAGCTTCCCTATTACTTCAGGAACCATTATAAAGCATCATCCCACAAACCGCTTCATCGATAAGAAAATGTTAGACATGCAAAACCATAAAAAATAATTTTACCTTTTCAACTCCTCCACTGTCAACTCATCATTCCGGTAGACTTCAAAGTGAAATCCTAACTCCCCCATATACTTCAAATGTAAATATGATAAAATATCAGAATAACCTCTTTTGTAGAAAGAACAGATGAACATGTACAACAACCGATTCTGTAAACAAAGATCTCAAACTCTATTCCTAATTGTACTTCTCTTTCAACAAGAAGGGAACAATTCCAAACTCTTTATGAATCAGTTGGAAAAAAGTTCAGTTTAATTTAAAGAAAAAATAAAAATTTAAGAGAAAAGGGGAAAATTAGCAAAATTTTTGCCCATTACAAAAAAATCATCTAAAGAATTAGAATTAGCGGTTTGATCTCAACAAATTTTGTATCAATTTTTTAATAACTTCAACAATTTCTTCTAATTGGGTGTAGATCTTCTACAGACTTCAAAATAGTCAACCCACAGGACTTCTGGACAGAAATTAAAATAAAAACAATAAAAAAACACACGCACAGAAATTAATAGTAAAACATAATCAACACCCCTACATTTTCTCAAACAGACAGAGTGCAGTATATGTATTATACAGTGATCAAGCACAAAAAGAACAAAAAAAAACTTAAAAAAAAAAACCAACATCAAGCAGAAACCACAAAAGTGCTAAAAAGAGAACCTGGCAAAGGTTATAGGTAAAGCTGTCATAGTTGTCAATCACAACAATTGGATTATTTGATTTTTTAGCAGAAACGGGGAAATTAGAATTGGCCTCCAAGACACCTAGAGCACCTTTCGGCACCACCCCATTTGCCCTTTTGGCCACAGAAACCACACCTGCAAATAAAAAATCAAACTTTATATCAAAACTGATTCATGAACCAAGACTGCAAGAAAAAGGAGAAATTTGGCAAAAAGAAGGGTACTGAGGGAAAATTGGTGGCGGTATCTGAGAGAGTGGAGAGATTGGTATGGTGAGTGAGAGCGAGACGGGGATTTTGGATGAAGAAGTGACAAGGGAGAGAAGAATGTGGTAGCCATTGTTGTGTTGTTCTCTTTGCTCAAGCACAACACGTCACACAAGTACTAGGTACTCTTACCAATCTACTTTGCAAGTTTGCAGAGCAAAAGCATATTATATAATTTTTTTAATTTGCATAATACAACGTTTTTTCCGAGGTTGGTCGCAGCTTTCATTATGACATACTTGCCCTTTTTTATTGCTATCATTAATTTATTAGTTTTTTTAACGTGCATTTAATAATATATAATAAATTCTTAACTTTTTAGTATATATTTAAACATATATAACAATAAATTAATAAATAATATTTTTTATTAAAATTTATAACATTAAATACTATTTATTGATTAAATCTTATAATATCTCATGACTTTTAATAATAATTTACACTCTTCGAGTTTAAGATAACAATCACTTTATAATTTTAATAAAAATTAAATATTTAAATAACTGTTATAGAAAGAGAAATTAAAGTAAACAATTAAAATGAGAGAAAAATTATTCAAAAGATATAATAAAAAATTTATAATAGCTTTTTTTATAAAAATAAGATTACTAAATGTGTTTATTAGTTTTTGTGTCATATTTTTAAAATTTTATTATTTTAAAAAATAATAAGTTTTTATTGAAAATTATAGTATTTAAATTAAAATATTAACATTATTAATTTATTATTGTAATATTTTATTTTTTATAAAAAATTACTATATAATATTTAATTGTATGGCTTAGACATACTGTAAAAAAAATTTCAACACGAGACTTGTGAAATTGGGATTGAATTTACCTCGTGTAGAAACGGATTTACGTGTAATTAATATAAAATTGTTAGGTTAAATATGAGGTTTTCGAAAAAAAATATTAAAATATGAAATTTCAAAAATTGTTGTTACATAAGTGCATAGATTTAGAGATGAAACAATTAAAAATTATAAAAAAATTTGAAGTATCAAAATTTGTCATTAGAAATTTTATTAAAAAATTATCAAAATATAAAATCAAATATAGCAATTTTTCAAAATAAATTAGAATTTTTTTAAAATACCAAGTTTAGAAATTTTTCTATATTCTCGTAGTTTTTCTTAAAATCTCATATTTTAATATTTGATTTTTCCATATAAAAATTTAAATTAATGATTCATTAGTATATTAAAAATATATTATTAACATCGGAAAGATAGGAGTAAGTTTGGGTTAATTTTATTTAATATTTTTTATAGACATTAAATTTCATTAATTCAATCATTGGTTTAAGAATTAAATAAATTAATTACATAAAATTTATAAATTTAAAAATTAATTGACACTTTTCATCAAATAATTTAATTTTAATATATAATTTATTTTTTAAAATATACATAAATATTAGCTATATATATATATATATATATATATATATATTTGAACTATCGAAAATTTAATATACGTAGTAATTATGAATATAATACTATATATTTAATGGTCAAATCAATTATATTTAATATTTATAAAAAAATATTAAATAAAGGAAGTAATCAAAACTTACTCTTCGAGCAAGTGAATTCCTTTTATATTGATTTTTTTTACTATAATTTTATTATTTAATAAGTTCTATTCTAATGTTAATAGATATTTTTAATTTAAAAGGATTTAACAAATGAGTATTTTTAAAAGATTAATTAATGTATTTCATATTAATTAATATATTGATTAATATTGACTATAATATGAAATTACTTAATAAAATAATATAACAAAAAGTCCATGAAACAATATATTGCTAATATTCTTCAACTGTATAACGATTTGAAAAGGAAAAATCAATATTAATATATTATTATGTAAATATTTTTATACTATGAATTAAAAAGGATATATTATAAACATGAATTTTAAATGAATTATTACCAAACTTGATAATTATCATTCATATGATAATTTAAGATTAGATAAGAGATCAAAAATATTTTATGATAATTAAATAAAAATATTTTATTTTCCTTGTAGTAGAAAACATAATATTTCTTTTCTAACTAGTTAATACCCTTAGAATGCACGAAATTTCATTATAAATAAAAAGCATATATTTAAACTATTGTTTAAAGATTAAATATGCTTTAAAGATTAACTGCTACATTTTCTGAATCTATATTTGAAAAATTTATTTTCCCTTCACCAATGTTCTATACAAAGTTCATTGACATCTTAAAGATTTATAAATAATATTTCTGTAAAATGTTGGAGAAAAAATTAGCATCATTGCAAAATCCAAATGGGTAATTTTTGTTTTATCATTCAACATATTGGTTCAGCATATACAAAATTGGCAAAGTTTGTCATAAGCCTATTCAATTTTGTACCCTGCATATCAATTTGAATACCATGCAAAAATAGTTAGATTATTTTTAATTATCTTGTATTATTAATATTATAATTTTAAAATTTTATAAATTTCAAATTAATCAATCATATTTCTTACAATGTTGAAGGCATACACTATAAAACTACACAAAACTAGTGCTCTATAGCAAAACTGGCTCGAGATTTTGCATTTTAATGCAGAAATGAAAAATTACAATATAGTCCCCAAACTTTTGTAAAGTAGTCCCTCCGTTTAAAAAATTACAATATAGTCCCCAAACTGTAGAAAAGATGCTAGAAAACCCTCATTGATAATATATAAGAACATTTTCTTTATAAAAATCACAATTTTTCTTGATAATATATAAGATATGGTTACTCATTCATGTCTCCCTTTTTATTAAAAATGTAATGGATGTTTCTAATATTTCACATCTCATTTTAATTTTGGACTTCCAAGTGTTGTAAAACTTGATAAGTCAAAATTCTTATTTTATCCTTCTAAGGCATATTCAAAGACTTCATTTCTTTTAAAAAGATTCTCTAGTATGCCTTTAATACACCTACCATCTCATGTTTCTCTTCAAATAGGACTCCAAAGGTTATCAAAATTTATCAAGTCAAATAAAGAGTCAAAAATCATAATTAATTTTGACTAAAATCGTATTCTTATTAATGAAAATAAAAGATTCCTTTCTTCTATTAAAAAAATTATCATTAAATTGATTGTCTTCCACCCTATTGCACATGTTCTCCTTTCCCTTTCAATTATTGATTTGAACCTCCTCTTAAACTATTAACCTATGACCACAAGCCTCTCCATTACTTGGCTTATCCCATTAAAATAGCTTGATTACTTGGAAAAATAAAATAAAATCTTAAATCTACGAAAAAAAAAGAAAAATTCTTCTTTTGTTTTAAAAAATTATTTATTATTCCCACCAACCTTAATTTTATTTTCATGATATTACCTTCCACTTTATTAATGAACAAACACATATAACCAAAAAAAAAAAAAAGAGGATAAGGTTAATTGTAAAAATTAGAAACAATATATAAAGGTTAAGTTGCGCAGAAAATAAGTTAGTAAAAAGCTATAAAGAGTTAGTCTTGTAGACAAAAAAAGTTAATGCACAGCACAGGATAATAGTTTGTAGCAACAATATAAAGTTAGTGGGTCAGTTGGACAAAATATAAAATTGTTAACAAAATTATAAATTGAAATGGTTAAAATTTGCAAAAAGTAAAAGTTAGTAGGAAAAAATATTTTTTAGTAGTCAGTTGCAATTAAAAGAAAGTTAATAACTTAGAAAAAAACTTTAGGTTTCAAATTAATAGAATATAAAAATTCAAGTATCATATAGTAAAATAAATTATAAAAACTAATTTTGTCAACATAATTTTAGAGTTATTAATAAGAATAAAATATGAAAAGTTATATATATATATATGTGTGTTATTTATTTATTTATTTTACCGTGGTTAAGTGATCAAAGAGACATTTATTTAAGAGTTAAATAAATAAAGGTAAAGATGCTCTTGACACCAACTATATTTTTTATTAATTATTATTTTTAATTTATGAAAATACTCTTTTTTTATTGATATTTTAATCGAGCTTTTAACTTGTCTTCCTTTGAAAATGTGATATAAAGGTTGTTTTTAAACATTTTGGGACTACAAAATTTAATATTTGCCTTGTGGTGGTTGAGTAAGTATAGGATTTATGAAATTTGTTAAAGATTTAGCCACAATATATGAGTATTCTTATTATTGACTTTATAATTTGTTAGGAATTCTTGATAATTGAAATATTTATTTCTTTGTTAATATTGGAGAATAAAGTGATTTTTGAGAAAAGTAGAATTTAGATGTAAAATGAATGACCAAGTTTTGGTAAATTTAAAATTGATTAGGATATAATTCAAGCTTTTTCTTCTAAATTTAATACCTTTAAAAATTATTTTTTTGGTTGGCCAAACATATCACCTTAACTTAAAGGTTACCTTAGGATAGGATTCTTTGAAATCTTCTTTCATAAGCTTGGTTAATTTTTACCTTGACTTGGTTAGATTTGTAAGATTCCTTCCTTTTCACATGGTTCTTCAACTTTCATCAACTTCAATTTTCACCTAAACCCTAAACCTTGTTTACACTTTCTTATCAATTTGAAATCTTTATAAGTTTCTATAATTATTTGCTTAGTACATTTGGAAGGAATTTTTTTTTCAAGAAAGAAGGAGAAGACATATTTTTTAACTTTAAAATAAAAATTATATATTATTTATCATAACAAATACATTATTAATACATTAAATTTTCATTAATATATTAATTTATATATTTTATTTTTTAAAAAATATTAATTTTAAATATATTTATTTAAAATCTAAATTTTACCTTTCCCTACAAAACTTCATTTTCCAAACAACCCCTTAATCTATAAATCTTTCTTGGCCTTTAATGATTGAGCTTGTCTTATCATCTTAATTGCTAAGTTGATTCCATTAAATCTTAACCCAAAAGTGGTTTCTAACTAAACTTGAAATGACATAATTTTTTAAGCAATTATGTAATTCTTTTTGAATGTAGCCATTCTTTCCTTGCATACGTTTAAATTGATTTCTTTTGATTTATAAAAATTAGTTTGATTTTCATGTGATTTTCCATCCACTTGACACCAATTTCAAATTGAATCCGAAAGCCCTATGTCTACGTGTACTTTGGCCTAATCTAATTGGTACATTATCTCATAAAATTTATTTATTTTCACTAATTTTTGCCTAATCTACTAAATTTCTTAAATACTTTATATGTAAATTAATTCTAATTAGAACTTTATCTAATAAAATTCATAAATACTCTATCACATTAATTAATTTCAATAAATAATATATTTTTAAAATATAAATAAATAACAAAAGTTTGATAATATACATACCAATGTTTAAATTATATAAAATTTGATATACATAATTATAAAATAAATAAGATGATTCAATTTAAATTAATCAATTTCAAATTTTATAAAAAGTTATGAATAATTTAAGTGTCTATTTAACATTTAATTATAAGATCTAATTCTTAAAAGAAAGTTGCATTAAATGAATGAAAAAATTTAATTTTCTAATAACAATATACAATAAGTAAAACACTAAAAAGTATAGCATTTTAGATACGCACAATTATTACGGCAAAAATACACTTAATTTTTCCACCATTTAAGCTAATATTTTAAGAAATTAAATTATTACATAATTTATGTTTTAAAAAATTAATTATGTATATAAATAATAAAAAAGGTAAAATATCTCATAATCTTAAAAGATCATTTGAAATAATTTATTTTCTTCGTATATCAAATTGAATAGAACAATTCATTTAAGGACAAAAATTGAGGTCTCACTAAAAGATAATTCTTTTAAAAGAAGAAATTATTGCATTAAAATCAATAAAACCCTCTTATGCTAAAGAGACAAGCACGCTTAAAATTTAGAGATGCCGTTTAGTGATAAACAAATAGTAAATATTAAACAAAAAAAGGAAGAAATTTAGGCACATTTAATTTTAAGATATGGAAGCGTGGTGAATAAGCCATGAAATTTCATAATCTTCCTTTAACACTGACATAACCTTAACCCTAGATCTTCTTCACTCTTCAACACCTTTTTTTCCTTCTCTTCAACTCAACAAGGTAACACTTCATTCTCAGATCTCATCCAAAACACCCTCAAATTCTTGCTGGGCACAGTGTGGGATCCACTTGAAAAGCATTGGATTTGAAACCCCACAGGAAAAAAGATCACGTTTTTTATTTGGATTTGAGAACCCCACCAAAAAAAATAAAATCACATTTTTATTTTCAATTGGGTATGCTTTGTATGTTTGTAGTGAGTAGTGGATTGTAGGTAGTGAGTGAGTGAGTTCTCATGGCAATGCCATCGGGAAACGCAGTGATGCCGGAAAAATTGCAGTTTCCGGGTGGCGGCAGTGAGATCCACTACCGCCAGCAGTGGTTTGTGGATGAAAGGGATGGGTTTATCAGTTGGATTCGCAGCGAATTCGCAGCTGCGAATGCCATCATAGATTCCCTGTGTCACCATTTGCGTGCTGTTGGTGATCCTGGTGAGTATGATATGGTTGTTGGGGCAATTCAGCAGAGAAGGTGTAATTGGACTCAGGTGCTGCTTATGCAGCAGTACTTTTCGGTGTCTGAGGTGGCCTATGCATTGCAGCAAGTCGCTTGGAGGAGGCAGCAGAGGTTTGTGGATCCGGCGAAAGGCGGCTCCAAGGAGTTTAGGAAGTTCAGTTCTGGGTTTAGGCATGGGCAGAGGGTTGAGCCTGCCAAGGAAGGTTATAATTCTAGTGTAGAGTCTTTTGGTCACCAGGCCGTTGAGAAGAGTGATGAACTTAAATCCAGTGGCAAGGTTGGGGCTGTGGATGCCAATAATTTAGCATCTGCTGAGGAGAAGAAAGGTAGATCATGGTTCTTTTGGACTGCTATATTTATCGTGATTTTTAATTATGGTCTTGGCTGCCGAGTGAAGCTTAAGCTATATGTGCAATATTGCAGTCATAATTGTGGTTGTGGATCGCTATTTAAAACCATGATAAGCATTATGCCACAGCATGGTGAATATTTTAATTGCATCTTTGTGCAATGTTTATACTTTGCATGATTGCTATTATTGTATCTCTGAGTCAGAACCAGTATTGCATGAAAGAACTTGTAATAAAGAATCAAGAGACTGAATTTTTGTTGCATTCAGGGTAATTTATATGACATTGTAGGCAAAGTAATTAATTTGATCTTGTATTTTACTGAATAGAGTAATTGCAGATTGAGTGGAAATGCCAGGTGTTTTGTTGAACTTGATAGCAGTAATTTATGGAAAGATTGGTGTTATAATCAGATCATTTTATGCACATCTAAGTATCTAACATATAAGTATTATGAGGGAAATGAAATTTTTCTTGTTTTAATAGACATCAAGAAAAGGTTAGGCACTAGTGGGACATAGCTTGGGCATTGGAATTAATGGCATGCTAAAGCCAGAGAATGATTTCACGGATCACTGATAAATTTCTACAGATTTTAATGCTACGGGATGCTTATTATTGCTTTTGTGTCTTACAATTAATTGGTTCCATCAAACCCAATTAATGATAAGATAGAGGATAATTTGAAAGATCATAATGAAACTTAATGATTGGAATTTATCTTTGTTGGTATGAAAAATTTAAGGTTGAAATAATGGTTTCCATGAAGGGCTTTTGAGTGTGGATAGATTTGTCAATAAGTAATTAACAGTCCCATACATTGCAAGATGAAAATGGGTGGGAGTGAGGAGATATATATGTCCTATTGATGTCAATGATGCCTCTGTGATACTGATAATTAATGAAAGATCTTCTCCTTTTGCTCTTCTATTTGTTTTCCCTTTGCTTTGATCTTGAGTTGAAATCTAGTGATAACTGATAAGTGTAACATTATTTTGAAGGCTGTGTGCTTTTCTGTGTCCAATTTGAAGCACATGGATTCAGACCCGCTCGTGTTAAGACCTGTTAAAAATAATAATACATATCAAAGCTTCTGACTGCATGAATGCATTATGCTTGAAGCTATATTGAGTCTTGACTGTTCCATCTTTTGGTTGATTGAGCAGATACTGCAACAAATCATCAATCTGATGGCATTCTTAAGAGCTCTGGGAATTCTCAAGGATCTCTGGCTAGCTCAGAATGTGAAGCTGTGGGTGTAAATGAAGAATGTATATCAAATTCTAAAGGTTTTATTCCTGCCAACTGATGATATATATATATATATATATATATATATATATATATATATATATATATAGCACATTCTAGAGGGCAACAGACTATACTAGTTGTATGCATGAATCTTTGGAATAAGTAAATAATGCTCAGACTCTCTCCTCCATCTTTTTTCATACGGAGATGGTTTTACTCCCTTGCTTGCAGTCACACACATACAGAGTCAGCATATAGACATAATTTTCCTATCAGATTGATTTCATATCTGTTGTCCATCTTATTTATGACTTTGTGCAATGTGTTCCAGGGAATGATTTTCCTTCGATGCAAAATCAACAACAGAGTCAGAATGCTTCTACCCAGGCAAAAACTTTTATTGGCAATGAGATGTTTGATGGGAAGATGGTAGGGTCCTTTTAATGTTAGCTTGCTTCTCTTTCTTTCTTGTTGTCATTTTTTCTTGATGTGTAATATACTTAATAATTTTTCTTCTGTTCTTTCTTTTATATTCTATGTATAAAGTGCACCTGTTTTTTAATCTTAGGTGAATGTGGTTGATGGACTGAAGTTGTATGAAGATTTATTTGATAGTACTGAGGTTTCAAAACTTGTTTCATTGGTCAATGATCTGAGGGTTGCTGGAAAAAGGGGACAATTTCAAGGTAAGTGTAATGTTTGTTTTAAGAATCTATCGCTGCTTCTGATTTTTTACTTTCTTTGATTTTTATATTATGCAATAGTCAAAGTCTTTGCCCATATTCTCAAAGTTGGTGGTTTTGATGAGAAATAATTGTCTTTCATTATAGTAGTTAATAGTTATCAACAAAGAATTGTTTGGTGTTATGACGCTAACTAACAACTGTAAAGTAGTAGCATGACATTTGCTTATACCAAATCAAATACTTATTGTAATATGCCTTTTCTGACTCTTGTGATTGTTATAAATTTATATGTATTTCCATTTATGTAAAGTGATGAATTATCAAAGGGCACCAACTCCTTGACACTCATAGTGCACTAGAAGACGCTTGAGTAAAATCATTGCAAAATTTCTGGATATTTGGTTAAAAAAGTCTTTATCAACAGAGATGAGGTATACAAAACATTAGAATACCAAATCTTCCTAATGCCAAGAAATAATAGGAGAAAAAAATATTTGAAGAAAAGTTTATTAACTTAGCTTCTTTGTTATGAAGAAGCATTAAATATTCTCTTCCATGCAGTGTTATCAAATGGCGGCACAATGGCAGAAAACAGGGGTGGTTTTTTAACAATCCGCCATACATATGGCAGGTTTGCAATGGTGGGTCATGGCAGCTGTTATTTGCATGGCGGTTATGACGGCCATGGCAGAAATTTTGGGAATCTGCCCAACAAAAAAGAATTAGGTTTGTTGATTTGCCTAGTTCCAAGCTGGCCGAACTTAAAAACCCAAGGCCTTATAAACCCCACACTAAAATTCCCTACTACCAATGTGGGACTCAAGTCCCATACCATGCAATTAGGATCCTAACAAAGTCATTAAAAGCTTATTTCAGTCCACATTTGATATTGTAACTATTACCGATTTATTTTTTTAAATTGCTATCGGAACCTTCTAATCAAGCACTAGCTAAAGATGGACTTCTGTTTCATCCACATTGACAATTCAATGCTATTTTGTATTAGTGGGTGTGCGTAATGAACAATCTAGCTGTGTAGGAGATCAAGGTCTTATTAATTATTTCATTTTTGTCAACACAATGACTGTCACTATCATATTAAATTTTTAATGAAAAGAATTTATTGAGGAAAGTTTCTTTATTGAATCTGTGACATTTGTTTGTTGATAATAATTTATTGAAGATCTGTGAGAGTACATTAGACTACACCGGAATAGACAAATGAAAAGGACAGATAGGGAGATAAATTTTATTTGACATTTGTATGTTGGTTGATTCTCAATTTGAACATTTTACAGCTTCCTGCTGGAGTTCATTTCTTTGTTGTCTGCATTTTGTTGAATGTGTATGGATTCTACACTTGTCTATTTTTTTAGGGTTTAGGGTTTCCAAAATTTCCAGTTTGGTTTTCAATATTAAGTAAAATTAGAGGATAAATTCTTCATTTTAGAAATCACAAATACCTTTACATCCGCTTCATTCTTTGTCTTTTGTTTTTAAATCAAAATTTAATATATTACAGTTTTTTTATGTCAGATTGTATAGTTATAAAATGAAAAAAGTCTCGTCATTCATTATACACTATACTTTAATAAAATTCATTTATTCTTACAACCTGCACCACAGGTTCCTTCTCTGATGCACAAAGCTTTTTCTTTTCAATACCGCTAATTGCTAATAATTTTTTATAAACAGGAAGTCAGACATTTGTGGTTTCAAAAAGGCCCATGAGAGGACGTGGAAGGGAGATGATTCAGTTTGGTGTTCCTATTGCTGATGCACCACCAGATGTGAACAATGCGACCGGATCCTCCAAAGGTATGTCATCTCATGTATATTTATTTTATACTGGTCTTTCACTGCCGATGTTGTAATGATTGATGTTCTGCCAATTGAATTTGACAGATAAGAATGTAGAATCTATGCCTTCTTTGTTCCAAGATATTATTGATCGCTTGGCTGCCTTGCAAGTGATGACTGTGAAGCCTGATGCTTGCATTGTGGATTTCTATAATGAGGTTGCTTCTTGCTGTTTTTGTTTACATTTTAGGGAGGGGGGAGAAGATATATATTGGTGTCAAAATTTGCTTACAAACTAGATATTGCAATTGTGTATAGGGTGATCACTCACAGCCTAACAATTGGCCACCCTGGTTTGGAAGACCTGTTTATATGCTTTTCCTGACTGAATGTGACATGACTTTTGGGAGAATATTTGTCTCAGACCATCCTGGCGATTATAGGGGTGCTGTCAAGCTTTCTCTTGTACCTGGGTAATATTTTCTAACCTTATCTGTTTTTTATGCTAATGCTTCTGACATTATTATTATTAGTAGTTCATAGATCATCTTAGCATTATACAAGCCGACGAAATTGTGGCATTTCAATACAGAAATGTCTATTACTAAGTAATGGTTAGATCTAGTTGAGTCCATAGGTAGGTATAGGTAAGAGTAAATTGCATTCATTGCGTGTCACATCTCTAAATTCACTCAATCAAAGCCCTGGTTAATCTTTTTAGGTTTTTAATTTTCTGTGAAAACATGTTAGTTAACAATGAACTCTATTTGATGTGTGTATTAACAATTTTTAGTTCTTTGAATACACCATATTGAAGATTTGTTTTCAGAGGACTTATATTTCTTTCTTTCTTAGAGATGATATCTGTTTTCTACTATATACTATTGTAATTGTAATTTGACTCCGATATACTTTGGAGAATTATATATTTTCATCAATTCTGGAAAGGGTTTTGACTGCCACGATGCATACAGGCACTGACAATTTTTGTCATTCTTGCGATGCTTTTCAAATGTTTCTTATTCCTAGGAGCACTCTTATTTATTAAATTTAATTGCATTTACATTGCTGATGGATAAGGTTAAAAACCATCCATAGCCTTATAGGCAGGCCATGATGTATACTACTGCTTGCTTTGCTCTTTTACTCAGATTCTATACTTATTACTATATGCCTGACATGACTTATTTACTTTGGTAACTGTAGGTCCCTTCTGGTGATGCAGGGGAAATCTACTGATTTTGCTAAACACGCCATTCCTTCTATTCGGAAACTACGCATACTAGTGACCTTCACAAAGTCTCAACAGAGTAAGTCTTTACCAAATGATTTTCAACGTCTGGCTCCATCATCAGCCTCTCATTGGGTCCCACCACCGAGCAGATCTCCCAATCATATGCGTGGTCACAAGCACTATGCTGCCACTCCAGCAACCGGAGTACTGCCAGCACCATCCATACGCCCACCTCCAAATGGTATGCAGCCATTGTTTGTGCCGGCACCGGTTGCACCTCCCATGTCATTTCCTGCACCTGTGCCAATTGTACCTGGTTCTACTGGATGGACCTCAGCGCCTCCGAGGCATCCTCCTCCTCGAATACCTGCTCCGGGTACCGGAGTCTTCCTTCCCCCACCTGGCTCTGGGAGTTCGTCTCAACACTTGCCCGGTACCTTGACTGAATTGAACCTGAGCACAGAAACCTCGAATGTGTCTGGAAAGGAAAATGGGAAATCTAATCATAATAACACAAGTTCTTCACCAAAGGGTAATATTGATGGAAACATCCAAAGGCAAGAACGCAATGGAAATGCAGATGGAACTGAGGTTGAACAAGCTGTAAGGAAAGAGGACGAAAGCAATGACAAATCCCTTGCAAGCCATTAAGTTATGCCAGATTAGAGAAAGAGAAAGAGCTTACCAAAGGAAAGTGGTAACCTATAAACTTAAAAAGAGTTTGAAGCAAATGTAAAGAGCGGCGACATTTGAGAAGACTTGATACTGCAAAGGAGAAAACAAGGGAAGGAGGCAAAACTTTTTGGTTCACTTCATAGTCCTTTGTTTGCTTCATTCCTTTTTTGTTGTCTTGTTATATTAACTTTTACAGCAAGGGAAACCCCATTCTTAATTCAGATTTTGATTTTTCTTATCTTTGAATTCTTTTATGCATATCTTTCAGTTTATTATTTTATGGCTATGTTTTGTTCTACAATTTTCTAGGGCAATTAGTTTAGATGTTTAATGCATGGATTGTCGAGCAAAATCTAAAGACTCTTGAAATCAAGTAGAAGTACGCACGAATGTGCAAGTTCAGTATTCAATTGGATAAGTAGCAACAAAGAACGATTTTAGGTGAAACTTTAGGAAGGGTGCCCAGGAATAGGGAAGTCAATGCCAAGGGTGTGTGATTAGTGGTCAAGTTCGGTAAGGTTTGGACTTGAAAATTTCAAATTGAAGCATGTAGAATGTAATCATAGAAGAATTATCTTTGACTATTGGGTAATTGGGTTGAAAATTGTGTAGCTATGCAAACACGTCTAAGATCATTTGACGACTAAAAACCTTGTTTATTAAGATAACTTTTGTGAATTTTTCATACAATTTCAAGCTAACTATAAGTTTAAAATGTTTTTATTTTAAATAAATTCATGTGTATCAAATTTAATGATTCTTAGTCAAGTGTTTGCTCGTTTATGTCAAATATAGTCAGATTTAATTATGATCGCTAGTTGGTGTTAAATGCATCATATGCCCCATTAACATTACTTGTCTGCATCCTGAAAGTCAAGTCATGCGAACTGGGACTGACAGAACCTGCTTGTACTATAAGAAGGAAAATAATTGCAGAATTGTTAATGATGAATTATTATTGGAAAGAAGTTAGCTTTATTTGAAAGTGTTAAAATTGAAAAAATTCAATACATTTTTTCTATGGGGATATAATTAAATATCTAATTCATCAATACCAATAAAAAATAATTGTTATAAATTTATATTCTATTTTAAAAGTACCTATAATATTAAATGAAAAAATTAGTGTTATATATTATATAAATGAATGTATCTACTTTTATAAATAATGTATAACTTGTTAACATAAATTTTATAATAAATAAGGGTATAAATGAAATTTAATTAATGTATCTAAAAGATTTTTTATTTCTTATATTTACGACTAAAAAAATAACAATAATTGTTTCTTATAAAAGTAGGATAAGAAATACTCTCTCTGTGTAATAATTTGAAATTAGTTTCTATAAAATATTTTTTTAAATAATAATTTTAATTTTTTTTATAGTCTTTTTAGTTCTAACTAAAGTAGTTCAACTAAAAGCTAATACTTAACAGTATCTCAATAAATTACGTCAATTAAGAAAATTAAAAATAAAATATCAAAAAAAGGTATGAATTATGGATTTGAATTCTTTCTAGTTTTTGTGCGAATTGTAGTCTACAATTAAGCAAATTTTTCAAAAAGATTTTCATTTAAGTAAGAAAAAAATTGTTTAAACTAAAATTGCTAAAAATTTCATAATTTCATCTTCTTTTTTTTAAATTACGGAAAATTTGAAGAACCTTTATTTCACTAAAGAATTTCTACTTGATGAATCTTTCTTTTCATGAGATATAATAGAACTAGGAAGGATTGATAAACTTATGATTTGTAGATTGGACATTATAACTTCTTACTCTTCATTTTCTAAAAAGGCTCTTTGAAAATGAAGTCATTTGTATATGTATGGCCAATAATAAATATGACTATAAGTTCTTGCACAAAAATTTTTCATAGTTTAAAGAAGAAAAAGATAAAGTTTAAAATTTTTTGTGATTTTATCTTAAACAAATTTTAATTAAACAAAAATTATTTTTTTACCAAATTTATTTAAGCAATTTTTTGTCTTAAATGAAAATTATTTTTTTGTCAAATTTTTTAAAGCAAATTTAGACTGATTGCACTAAAATTGTAGAAGATTGAAATCCATGAATTATATAGCCTAACAAAAAAATTATAAAAACTAAGTTTCAATTACGTGACTTTTGTTAGAATTAAACAGTTAATTAACCCAAAACTTTAATAATGAATTATTTCAAAAAATAAATTATTTAATCATAAATAGTCTAATTCAGAATGATAAAATTTGGTACAAATTTCAAGAAAGACATGTTACTTAAAATTTTATTGAAAGAAGATAAGGGGATAAGAAAATAAAGAAATGAGGCAAAAATCAGTTATTGTTATTTAATACTAAGCTTCAATTTTCATATTATAATATACTTTCCTTCAACTTTGGCAAATTGAAACCATCAAGAATTTATTTATAGTAATTAAAAATTCGTTAAAAAGTGTCCCAGTTACACGTTTTATCTAACTGGTCTTGTCTACATTTTGGAAATATTTACTTTAAATTCTCAACAAATATTGTTAAAGCTTGTCAATCTAACTTTTTTTTTTTTTCCTAAAAAGAACAAAATACAAAACAGAAATGATTAAAAACCATGTGGGTATCAAGTACCCATCTTACAACATTTTATGATTTTTTTAATCTTTCAATCACGTCACCCATGTTATGATTCTTATCTGCTCTCGTAAGATTTTAAGTAGCATTTCTCAAAAATTTAAAATGAAAGTGTTCTATAATGGCTCTTGTAGAGAAGCGTGCAAGTACATAAATGCTAGTGCGTACAAATATCGTTACTTGGTACAACAACAACCATGCTTTATTCTACTAGATAAAAATTATTATAAACAGCCTGATCAATAAGCGCATTCCATTTGAGTGGATGGCCATTCAATTGGATTTCACCTCGCATTCTATTTCCCCCACCTTTGTCATCAGTGATGATGATACATTCTGTCCGGTGCCAGTAGTCCAAGATGTGTTTGGAGGGGGCAAAAACAACCCATCAATCAAATAAGCATTCAACCAAACTCCCAACTCGTCAGAAACCTTCAGTAAGTGCAAAAGTTCGACCACCTAAACTGGGAGGCAATGCACTTACTGCTTGTTGAATTTCCTGAATATCACAAGCACCACAAGGTGCATTAGTACGAGTATCCCAAAGAAAAAGTCTTAATGGAGAAGACTAATATTCTAAAATCTAACAATTTAACAAGCATCACAAACATGATTTTAATTTTGTATTAATTTGAAACATGGAATGGAAAGGCATCTGTTCCACATAAAACAGGAGGGAACTTCCTATGGTTCCAAACATGGGAGGCTATACCTCCCAGGATCACACTCAAAAAGACTTTGTGAGGAGTGATGTATCATTTTTGTAGAGCTATAAACAATAATGTCATACCTCCACCGTGTAACGTGCTGAAAAGTGAATCAGAAGGATCGCCCGATTCTGTAACCTCTCAGCATAACTTATTATCTGAAGAACATAAGTTAGAAGAAATAAACAAATATATAGAAATAAAATGATTAAACGGCTGGGATTTAAATGAAATTGTGTGCTAACGATTGTAGCAGGTAGCATACCTCAGACAAATGGGTGTGTCCATAGTCTCTGGCATGTTCCACAGTGATTGAATTGTTAACAAAGGTGCACTAAATGGATAAAGGAAAAGGAGAAAACATTAGATTAGCTGATCATAATACCAATCATCAACATAAATCAAATGGGAAAAAACTAGAATCAGTTCCTTTAGGATGCAATACTACAATCCCACAGAAAATTAACTAAACAGACGAGTGAATTTTGTCCCGGAATCAGAATACGTAAGAAAAAACAATGACTAAAAAGGCTATATATATATATAAGACAACAGGGACAAGTGCAAATTCAAATTCTTTTTACTTCACTACTCAAAAAGTCAAGGACATGTTTTCTTGCCTTTGAGAAAGGAGAATGTGCATATAGACTAGGAAAGCTTCAAGTTTGTTTTATATAATTTATAGTCTCAAAGTATCAAATAAAGTAATTAACCTCCAATACAAGAATTCTAGCCCGCATGACATCGGTGTTATTTTCATCAACTATGAAATCTGACATGGTATCTCCTGTGAAAGCAATCTCTGGTTCTGTCAAAGTGTATGTTATCTGCCATGTAAAACCAAAAGATATAGATTTAACCTCTATTCCAAAATTCAATGTAAATGGTACATGGGATGGGTGACAAGCAGATTTTTTAGAACAACTAATTAAACAATTACAATGTTAAAAAATTATCAATTTGAATTATATGATTTGGCATTTTAGAAGCAGAAGTACTCAACAACAGAAAGTTTTATTTGCCTGTGTACAACACAGATGAGACTAAAATTATGTGCTAATTTTCAGAATTATATACTGCAGGGGATCTGAAGTTTAAGAGAGGGAGGCTTACCCAATTACATCATAGAAACATATTCTAGTCAACCAATGAACACAAATCAAGCTTAAGAGAGGGATGCCAACCCAATTACATCATAGAAACATATTCTAGTCATCCAATGAACACAAATCACAGAAACGTTATGATTAGCTGTAGATGACAAGTTTAGTTGCTCTTTCTTGTCATCAAATGTAAACAAAATAAATGAAAATGCTAGGCGTCCATTAATATTGATGTCCTGCAGTATCTATCTTTGGGGGTTTATCCCTATTTCTTCCTAATAAAGAAAACAGGTTTCTATTGGAAATCTACCAATTAACAAGTATTAAAATTGGTTGACAGACAGAAGATAGTTAAATTTGCCAGAGATGTAAATTTGACAAATTATTAGTTTAAGACTGACCTCTGCACCAGACGACTTCAAATTCTTAATTTCATTTCCAGAAAGTCCGTTGTACTCTGATTTAAGTTTTTGTCTTACAGAGTAAAGTATATAACCCTGCCAAAAACTTGAATAATAATTAAACCCCTCACGGGAATGCTTAGGAGTCAAGATAAGGATGCTGTGGAAGGTCATTTGAAATTTCGTTTGGTGAAAAAGTGATAAAGATTCAGTGAATTGCACATCTCTTAAAAGGATAGTGGTTAAATGTCATTCTTTACAAATGTAAAAGAGTAAAATTACCAAACATATAAACTACTAAAAATTACAAGCTTAAACTTATGGAAGGATAAAGCCAGAATTTAACAGAACATAAAGGTTCTATATTGTTGATAGTCTAGAGCTTCAAAAACCATCCACCATGGTGGTTCTCAAAAGTTCATGTGGCTATCAAAAGGCAATAGAAATAGCATGATCAAAACAATTTAGAAAAACTAAAATTTGTGACTTTCACTACCACTCATAAAACAAAACAATCAATAGCCAAAATATATTTAAACAGGGACTAATATTGCTTAAGAATCAAAAGAAACATTTTGCCGTTTGGCTACCTGGCTGGGTATTACATGGTAAGTCCGAAAAGCTTTTACTTTAAGATCCTTTCTCAAATAAAACTCCTCTCCTGTAGTAAGACATGAATTAGCAACAAGAGTACATGAGGGGAAAGACATAAAGATTACATGCGTAATTGTAGCATTTTGATTGAGACCAACAATTACCTACATCCAAACCGATCAGGTTGTGCTTAAGTTCTGATTGGTCCATTTTCCTGTGAATGTCAAAAAGTTTCTCTACATCCTCTTTTACTGAAATTGGTACAATAATTGTTGGGGGCTTCATACGGTACAAACCACGTGTAGCAACATACATTGGGAGCCCTCCCTGTCAAAAGTAAATCTGTAAAGGTATGTCACAAATTGGCAGTTCAACAACAAACTAATTCAACCATATATATGCATCAGATACAGCCCCCATATATAAAATATTAATGGAAAGGGTAAATAAAAAATGAGTCACTGACTAATTTAACAATATTAACATATAGTATAAATGAACAGAAATTCCAAAATTGAATTTTACGCATGGATTTGAATGAAAGAAAGGGACTAACAATGTGATCCATGTGAGCATGGGAGATTAAGAGAAAGTCCTGGGAAACAGCACGAGGGGGGCAGCGACCTATATCAAAGGCTACTTTAAGTGTGGGAAAAATTATGCATGTTTCATGGCCACCAATGGACAAACCCCCAACTTGGTATCCTTCAATATTCAGATCCTTTGCTTTCTTTGAAGAAGGATCCGAGCCTCGTATTTCTCTGACTGACTTTGACTGCTCACTTCCAATCTCCATGAACAATGACTGATTGAAAAAGAAGGGGAAATAACAATAGAAAGCAGAGGTTTAGAACAAAAGAACAATCCATAAAATTAGAAGAGTGTAGATGGGATCAGGATATTCATATATAATTCAATATAATATAGCCAATAGTGATGATAAGAAGAGGGAAGAGAAAAAAATTCAAGTGTAATCTGAGAGTAACTTTGAAAAGTTTGCACAATTTTATAATCTTCTAATTGGTTTGGATTTTGCAAAAAGCCAAACCAATTATTAAAAACCAAACCAATTTTTTTTTTAATAAAACAAGTTTAGACCATATGTGAACTGGTTTAAAACTGGGTTATAAATTGGTTTTAGGTTCAAACCAGTTCCATACCTTAAACTAGTTACCAAATTGGTTTTGTATCCAAAACTGGAGGGGTTGGCTTTACCATCACGCTTCAATCAATTGGAACCTCAATGGAACTTCCCCTTGAGGACAAGGTGAAAGTTTGGGGAAGAGTATTGTTAGACAACCCATCAGTTTGTTAGTTATAATTAGTAGTTAGTTAGTTACACTTAAGAAAGGGTATCACTTATATAAATAGAGCAAAAGAGAGGAAAGGAGGGCAACTTGTCAATTGGAGAAAGGATTGTACTTTTCAAGAGTAGGAGAGTCTAGGTTCTCCCAAATAACCTGGGAAATTCACTCAATCAATACAAACTTTTATTCTTTTTTTCTGTTTTACTAATTCAATGCCAAGAACCATACCAACATTGCAATGTAACAGTGTTCTCAAAGGGGTAGTCCACAACCAGCCCACGTGAATATCGAGACTATAGAGCATGGTGGGATGCTAGGATGCAATTGCAAGGTATGGAACTCAAGTCCTAGTGTTTACATTGGAACTATGAGATTCTGATGTGGGGTTTATAATTTATAAGGATTTGAGCTCCCTACCTACAACGGGTAGCTTTTATGGTGTGGTTTTTTCAAGGTTCTTGTTATGGTACTTTCTCCATTCAACTGGCCAAAACCATACCACAAAAACAAAAGCATATCAGTTATTTACTATAGTCATCACTACTAATATGCATTTCAAAGTGGCTATTTTATTTCTTAACAACTGACATGGTATCACATCAAAATGAAAGACCAAGGGAAGTTGGTTACTTAGAAATGAAAACAACAATAGCAAACCTCACACTGCTCTTGCTTCTCAGGAAACTTGAACCTCTTCTAAATCTGATCTGTGCATAGAGAAACCTCAAAATAAAAACAAAATGTATCACGTTAGATTCAACCAAGAAAGTAGTAGATTTGATTAGCAATCAAGAAATTAACAACCAAAACAATAACAAGAAGTTAGGAAATTAGGAAACCTATATCAGTAACTGAGTAGAAACAAGCGAGAGATGAAAGATCAACAAATAGTGATAAAAATGCTAAAGTTATAAGAAGCAAATACTAAATGACTCAATCAACGGTAGAGAATCAGTGGAGATGCGAAGTGAATTATTTGGGTGGTTTGATTTGGGAATTGGTGCTCTTGTGAAATTTTGGTGAGAACTATGAAGCGTGAAGTGATGGCAATGAGATTGATATTGAGAGAGAAGAAAATCGTGTTGATTGCTGAGGTTTAAGAGTGAACAAGAGAAATAGGTATCAATGTAAACAACGTGGTTCATGGATTGTTGCCAACTGATTATAATAGCAACTGGTTCAAGTCATAGAACCCATTTTAACAAAGCAATTTAGTCCAAGCCCATTTAAAAAAATGGTTAATTTATATATATATATATATATATATATATATATTCTCTATAGTTAATATTCATTTACAAATTAGTCTCTATACTTAAAAAAAAATTATCTTTTAGTCTTTGTATGAGTATTTTGTTACGCTTTGGTCCCTGTTGTTCATGTTGTAAACGATAGAAGGGACTAAAACATAGCAAAATTCTTGTATATGGATTAAAACGTATGTTTTTTTAAATATAAGAATTAATTCGTTAATATGTCCAATATAAAGATCAAATATGTAATTTAATCAACTATAATTTTAAAGGAATACATAACACTCAATTCATTATAATTTTTTAATATGTAACTATCTCAATTTATATATAATATACTTTGTATATAATATATCAATTTTTATAAAATATTTTGAAAAATATTTTTTATATAAAAATGAAATATTTATTATATTTGAAAAGTGAAATTACATTGTGACTCAAACCTTTACAAGATCTTTCGTAACTTTTCTATCATGATAGAAGTAAGAATTATTATTATATTGACTTAAATAATGATATTTGGGGTCGATAATTGAAGGCAGAAGTATAATTACAAGGCACTAACAGAACTGTTGGTAAAGATTGTGTTTCATCTTCCTAAGGTAGCACTCTTCTCTTCCATGTCAGAAAGAAACCAAAAAAATAAAAAATAAAAAATAAAAAATTATTCTATCTACTATATTCATTGAAAAATGAAATATTAAACACTTTAATCCTGTTGTATAAGTAATATACATCAAGTAATTGACTTTCAGTTTCAGACCAGCAAAATACAATGAAACAGAAGTTTTTCAAATAAGGAACAAACAGTAGACGTACTTCACAAACAATTTCCCAAAAACACACAGCTATATATAGAACCGATATTTATTTTTAATTTTATATTTAAGGTGCAAGGATATAACAATAGATAGCGATGATTTTCATCGAAGATTTATTGCCAATTGGATAGCTTACACACACAGTTTGTGATGTCATATAAACAATTCATTAGAAATTTCAAATTTCAGACATGTATGCATCTAAGTTGGAACCGATTTCCATTGCACTGTGGATATGAATATATTTACCATAATGAATATGACTAGTGTTGCTAGGAAATTTGGAAAACAACAGAGTAGGTTCCCCAGCACCAACCTGCAGAAAGCAATGACAAAGCTCTGTGAAGGTCTTTACCCATTGTGCTACGTTACCCTAAGAGTATCAAGGAGAAAATCCTTCAAAATCCAAACATAGAAATCAAACATGCTTGTACATACTTATGGCTAATTGAAAAGCTTCAAATATAAATGACTTTGTAATTACCTATTCTCAATGCAATTTGAATTTGGCTCTGAAAAAACGTAGCTCCGATGGGTTCTGTGGCGCCGGTGATGTATGCAGTCGTTCTGTCTTTGCTCAGCGGCAGGGCAACAATTTTTCTTTTGGGGGCTTATCTATTTTTCCGGAGACAAAACAAAACCAAAAATTTGAATTTTCAAAATCAATTTTTACAAAAGTATTTTTATCAAATAAGTTTTTAAAAGTAGTTGGGCTTTTTATCGACTGGGTTTATATAACCAGTGTTTTTTTTTTTTTTGCCCTAACAGTGTAAAGAGGGATTTATTTTTGGTAAATGACGGTCAAATCGTTGACAAAAAAAAAATGGTCAAATCAAATCAACTTTTTTTAATAATTATTTTTATTAAAATGTTATATATAAATTTTATTAATATTACTTATATATAAATATATAAACAATTCAAACTATTTGATCAAGTAATATTTTTTAAAAATGAGTTAAGTCAAATTTTAATCAGGCCAAGTAATAGGCCACTAGTCTAGCTCATTCATTCTAATTCTTTTCTATTTTTATTTTTTATATTTTATTAACCTCAAACATTAAAATTAAGTTTAAAAATTTTAAAAAGTAATTTTTTATTAAAAAAATACTTATTACACTTTTATATTTCTAATATAATAAATATTTTTTTTATTCAATAAAAATATACTATTTTTAAATATTTAAACTCAAATCTAAGGATTATTGTTGATAAAACTGTATTTTTTTATGATTGTTTAACACTAAAAATAATTTTATAATTTTGTTATAAAATTAATACAAGTGACAAATGTAGATTCAGATAGATTATAATTTTATTGATTAGTTGTTTTTAGAGAGACACGCACAAGAGAAAACAACAAAATTTAGAGATGCCAAACATGAACCTTACATTCTTGAGATTTTGTTAATATTTTTTGCCACGCCATTGACAAACAATAATTTTGTGCAAGATTTTAGGTAAATTAATGATGTAAACAATTATTAAATTGTGCAGAAGTGAAAATGGATTGAAAGTACTAACCTTCAGTCTTTGCAAGATTCGTTCGCGATTTTAGTTTTCTAAATCATCACTTACTCAAAGTACGATAGTGTGTTGTATTTTGAATAGATGAGCAGATTCAGGAACCTAAAATAAAATGAGATTATGAAATACTTATACGGCTCTATCCATCATGGAGTCAAAATAGTGGAGTGCCAATAATGTTCCAAAAAATCACCAAAGTAACTTCCATGTCAAAAATTGAATGTCGAATAATAGGGATAATGGATCACGTTATGTTCCCAAAAAATTAGAAACTAAAAACTGAAAAAAGATTGCTAATATTCTCAAACTTGATCCATTAATCCCATTATCAACCATAATAAAAAATCAAATATATGAATCATGATGACAATTCCTCTAATGGTGAGTATTATCTCCAATGTATCATAATATATCAAGTCTATCAACACTAGTTTTGAACTTAATGAATAAACCACATGTTCATTCAATGTCAAAACTAAATGATATTTCTCAAACAAACAAATGTGTGCAGAAAACTAAAGAGAAAACATCAAAACTAAATAAAAGTCTTATCAAAACAATAAAAGTACCCATAATGATTGTCATATCATGGAACCAAGTCTCATTCGTGCTACATGATCTTTAAAATTCTTTGGTGACATACCTTTAGTCAAATGATCGACAATCATTAATTCAGTGTTAATGTGCTCAATGACTACTTTCTTACCATTAACACGTTGTCTTATGGCTAAATATTTAATCTCGATGTGTTTACTTTGATTTCTACTCTTATTATTATTAGCTATAAATACTATAGTAGAGTTGTCACAATACACCTTTAATAGCATAGAAATAGAGTCCACAACTCTAAGCCCAGATATAAAATTCTTCAATTATACACCATATAAGGTAACCTCAAAACAAGAAACAAACTCAGTCTCTATAGTGGAAGTAGTAGTCAAAGTTTGCTTCACATTGTTCTAAGACACAGCTTCACAAGCTAGTATAAAAATATAATCATATGTAGATTTTCTAGTATCAATGTAGCCAACAAAGTCTGAATCAGAATAACCTATCACCTCCAAATTATCAGTCGATTTGTACATAAGCATGTAATTCTTTATCCTTTAAATATACTTCATTACTTTCTTTGCAGCTTTTCAATGCATACATAACTGTTCAAGGTCAAGTCTAGTACAACCTGAGCATCCATAAGACTTTTAACCATTGAAGCATATGGAATATTTTTCTTGTGTTTTCACTCAAGGTCATTTTTCGAGCATTGACTCAATTTAAGTCTATCACCTTTCATAATGAAAGCTACATTTAGTGAACAATCTTTCATATTAAACCTCTCTAAAACCTTGTTGATATAAGTCTCTTGAGACAAATCCAAAATGCGTTAAAATCTTTCTCTAAAGATCTTAGTGCCTATGACATAAGATGTCTCATCCATATATTTCATATCAAAGCTCTTTGAGAGAAGTTGTTTCATTTCATATAACATACTCTTATCATTAGCTGCAAGTAAAATATGATCCACATATAAAACAAGAAAACAAATTTTACTCTTACTAATCTTAAGATATATACATTGATCCATGATGTTTTCTTCAAAATCGAATGAAGATATGATTTCATGAGATTTTAGATACCATTAGTAAAAAGCTTGTTTTAATTTATATATAGACTTATTAAGCTTACAAACCAAATGCTCACCATTATTTGAGAAGAATTCTTCAGGTTGTTTCATGTAAATCTCTTCTTCTATATCACCCTAAACCCTAAATTCACATAAGTGAATTTTGTATAAATTTGTTTTATTATTTTTTACATTTTCACTTAAGTGAATCTATCTTTTCTTAAGTAAAAATAGAATTAGACATCTAATTCTCACCACAACCGGAGAGGATTGTATCTATAGTACATTGGGTAGTGGTACACTACCAATGGAGGGTGTTAAATTTCATTATTTTAATTTTTTATTTATTGTACTTGTTGTATTCCGGTTACAGGAATTGAAGTTTTTTCATAAAAAACTTCTCTGATATATTCATGATAAATATTTGGAGTCGAATGATTAAAATTATGACTTTTTGGGGTTGGATTGGATCTAATAGTTAAGAAAATAATAATTTATTTTCATCAGAACCAACTATTTTTAATTCAAAAACTAACTATGTTTAATTCAAAAATTAAATTTAAATTAACTCGCACTCATTTTAACTCATCTAATTAGTATTTTTGAGATTTTTGTTAGCCCAATTTTGATGGGCCTTCAAACTTTGGTTAGACATAGATCCTTAAATAAGATTTTAAATGACACCGTTCAAGTATTATTTCTAATGTAGTAAAAAAAGATTCTCTCTATAATTTGTCAAGTTTATTATATTTTATTCTTATCATATTTGTTTAATATAAAAGAAATAAGTTTTCATGCTTTCTCATACTTATATTCTCTTTGATTATTTTTTTAAGAAATAAGTAAATAATTCATAAAAATAATAAAAATAATCATTTTGTATAAATAAATATTTTTTAATAATTCATACAATATATATATATATATATATATATATATATATATATATAGTTAGTTAGTTATATGGATAGTAATGAAGTTTAAATATGTTTTTGGTTCTCCTATCTTAACAATTTTTAGTTTTAATCTCTTTAAACTATTTATTTTATTTTAGTCCTTACTTTTTTTTATAATTTTTTTATTTTAGTCTCTAATACTGATATAATCAAATATAAAATTGACACATAATAATATTTTAATGAACCAGATAACTAAAAACAAAAAATTATAAAAAAGATAGGAACTGAAAAAAATTTATTTGGGAGACAAGCAAAAAATTTAATTAAATATAGGGATAAAATTATATTTAAGTCTAATATACACTTTACAATAACAAACAAGAGTATTGAAAAAATTTAACAATTAATGCATCTAAAGATGACTCATTATTTTTAAAATTTTGAGAAAAAATATAATAATAATAATTTTTTAAATATGAGCGGAAGGAATATTACTTCTCTTTTGATTAAGCTATTTGTATAATTGATGCTGTATTATCTATGACTCCTCTGATACAAAATGATACATAATATATACGGATAACATTGGTACAAGTCTTCAACTTTACACGTGCTGGATGTTAAAATATAAAATTATATTGCTAAGATTGACTAATTGTCTCGTGCATGACATAAGGACTAGCCATGTACAAAGATAGGTACCATGTACAAATAGGGATATATGTACACAGAATTATATACACATTTTCTCTTAACTGTATAATTCAAATAGAGGATTGCATTGTTGACTTTGTTAGTTTCCAATAGTGTATGCTCTCACCAAAGACGTTATAGAAGGCAAATATTGCATCAGTTTGAGTCATTTGAACAGACATGAAACCTTGACCATCATAAAAGAATTTGACCACATCAGAATGACTTTCTTTAATATCACCTCTCCATGCCTTTGATCCTGCTCCACTCGTTAAGTATAGTAGTGGGCTGCATTTTGATTTTGGTATGAGAAATAAAATCCTTCATCAAAGCACATAAATAGTCTGAGTTTTGGTATTTTTATTTCTTACCAGTCTATGCTTCTTATATGTTGAAGGCAATGGTCATGCCCATTCATGTACATGTCAACATTGTTGGCCTAAATATTCACAAATACATCATAAGCACAAATTTTATAGGAAAGACAAAATAATTTGCAAATGATTCAAGGGTAATGCCCATTTATGAGAGGACATAATCGTTTTCATGTGTGGAAGCAAATCCCAAACAAAAGTTTCACTTTAATTTTTTTATACCAAGAGAATCTAACATGGTGAAATCACAAAAAACACATTGAAATTATATGAACTAGGAAGTTTCCATATATTATACAGATATTATTAAATTCAACAAATTTATAAAGATAATTATTTTGATTATTATTAATAATAATTCTATTATATTAAATAAGACAAAGTTAAGGAGATAATTTTTTTTGAAATTACAAAACTAATAATGAAAATTTTAAATTACAAAATTAATGTCCAATTTATAAAAGTCACGTGACAAGAGGGTGATAAGAGGAGAAAGAAAACTAATACCTAAAAGTGTTCTCATTTAGAATAATTTTTAAAAATTTATTATTTAAGAATTAAAGCTCTAAAATTATATATAAAGATAAATTGTGGAATTATATTATTTTGGTCTTAAACCTCAACGTCTATCTAAAGATTCGTGCTAGGTTTGAATTAACATAAGTTAACTGAATCCATTCAATGAGGCAAAAGGTTTGTAAATATCTATTATTATTATTATTATTATTAAGACTTGAATTTGAATTCTTTTAAAAATTAATTTATCATCAAATCAGTCATTTGAAAATTGAAAATATCACTGAATTCATTTTTACAGGAGATTAAAATAGTAAAAAAAATATTAAAAATTTAATTTGGTGATGAATTAAATCTTTAAGACTATATAACTTGGTAATATCTCTGGAAGAGAAATTTAGTAAGAAAATTAAAAATTTGAGAGATAAACTTACGGCCTAAAATTTAAAAAAACTAATGGATGACACACTTATAATTTTAGAAGATCCAAGTGAAAAATTTCATAATCTATACCTTAAGTATTGGGATGAGGTATTTTACAAGCTCTGGACTGTCACCATGATGCCCAATACTTCTTATTGCATGATGACCCACAACGATTTTCCATCTTGCTGTTGATTTTACCAATGCTTCTTCAAGATCCTTGTCAACAAAATTTTGCAAACTATTAAACAATATGCAAGTAAAGAGTTATTTATTTTATAGAGCTGATTGTTAATTATCTGGTACCTTTAGAAGATTGTTGAGGTAAAATTTTCTTCTAGATATACCTCGCCAATCGTAATGATGATTGGAATTGTTGAAATAATCGTTTATAAATGGAGTTGTGTCGATGAAGAAAAAATCAGCAACTCCTGGGAAAAGTAGGTAAGAAAAGAAAATCATGTGAAGTGTGATTTGTTTGTTAACAAATGGTGCTTAAGAGGTTAAAATTTGAAAGTGCTATTAATATTATACCTGCATTAAGAATGAATGATCTCTGGCAGAGCCATCTGTTGTCAATTTTCCTCAATATAGGACTTAATTGTGCCAGTGCATTCCCCCTGTAGTCATGGTTTCCCAAAACTGTAGAAGAAATGATTTTAAAATAAAGGAAATACATATATATGTGTGTATACCAAAATAATTATAATAATGAGCGATATACAAGCAACTACATGATGCATGGTTTTCACTCTTTTTTAAATGTTATTATCCGTTTTTATGATTGGTTTTAACAAATAAAAAGTTGTTAGATTTTATTAAAAAATATTTATTACATTTTAGTGTAATAAATAATTTTTAATAAAATCTTATTATTTTATATATTTAAATATAATTATAAAGATTGATGCTATCGAAATCGTTTGTTTTATTCACTCATGTCATTATACCTTCCGATAGAGAGATTTTGGGTAAGATTTGAGAGATTTAACTTACCAGAGTACCATTGCTTCCTAAGGCTCTTAGCTGTGTAAATATTAGAAAATGACTCCAAAAATGCTGGATCATATACACCTTTTAGCCCACTGTCGTAGAAATTGTCTCCAGTGGATACAACAAAATCTATATTAAGTTTGTGTCCAATTTTTCCCATCTGTCATGTCCAGTATTAATGTTTAGGGGTTAGGCAACAAATAGTGTTCCAAATGAAAAAGCTACAATGAGGTGAACATGCTCAAATGTCTATTCTACACCAGATTTAATTGGTCAGGACTTCTAAATTTTATGATCTTAGCTTTGGTGAAGAGAGTCGTTCTGGTTCCTTTCTCTCTTCATAGACAATGCACTCTTTCTAGGAGACAGTATGAGATATTTAAGAAACTTCACAAATAGACTAGGGTGAGTAATTTGTTGGACAATAACAAAATAATACTTATTTGTTCAGACATAATGCATGGAATGTAGAGAAAAAAAATGTGGTTACATGAATAGAAACACAACACAACAATGACTACAACAATAATAATAACGAAAATAAAGGATTTGCATAAGATAGGTGATTGAGTTCGAAGGAGTTTTATCTTTTTTCTTTTGACCTTTCGGTACATAAAAAGTTTTGTTTAGGTTAAGGTTTGCTCCATGCAAGGCGAGGGAAGACAACCAACCTTGCCAAGGAGTTTTATCGTGGAATTACATATATCACTTATTGATGGTTCCCTTGTAATTGAATTCAAGTCTAAGTCTTGTAATTGAATTCATGATATGCCTATAAAAAGCCTTATAATCAAATTTTAGTAAAATTCATAAAGTGAAACGAAGAAGATAAACCTGAGTGGCAACCAAGGATTGGTTATACAACCCTTTTCTACCCCAATCTCCAATGACTAGAAAATTGAGAAATCCATCGTGATTTGGTTGATGTTGGAACCTTTGAAGTTCTGCACAAATGGGTAGCACGAAATATATACATAAAATTATTGTTAACTGAAAAGGAGATGATGGGAAAGCCATGGCTAATTAACCATGGTTTTGCAAAAAATAAAATAAAATAGATACTAAGGAAATGTGGTGGGGTTGATCAATTTAAAAGGTTAATTGATAGATAACGATTGACTGTTTTAGGTAATTTGATTTCTGGATAGAGAGGTCCATGCCACTGAGAATCCACGTTTCAAGGAAATGACTATTTATGGGATGCAACAGATGGGTCATAAATTTTTGAGAGATAATTAATTATGGTAAGAGCTGCGTGTCCTCAATTCTATACCCGAGCAACCCTCTCAAACTCACAAATATACTAATACAATCGAAGTTAAACATAGCTAACTAAATTCATTGTCTTCTATCTTTAGTTAATCCTTTTTTAACGTGTGTTTAAATGTGTGTTTAAACGCACACAAATAAAATTTATATATTATAAGATTTAAGGCATTACTAATATTTAATAATATATTTTTTAGTAAAATTTATTAATGGGTGATGGAGCAAGTTTTGGCGAAAAAAATAATGTTTGAACATCGGTGTCTTTTTTCAACTTTAATCCATGGGGGAAAAGTAACAATTTAAAAGGAAAATGTTAAAAATCATGAAACCAAAGTCTCATTGTTATGTTAAAATAATTGGATTTATATTAGGACTTAGAATACTAATAAAATTAATATGGATTGCATACATATCTCTCGAAAATATTTTTATTGATTAACCAATTTATATTGGCTTACACACTTGTCATAAATCATATATAATTATAAGTATGTGTTTTAAAAAAAAAGTAGTAAATTATCCATTCAATTCATTTCATAAAAAGAATTATACTTATCAATTAAAGCTTGAAACCACAATTTTAACGTATTTAAAAAATTCTTTTATCATATCATTATTCTATAATTTCTAGTGGGAAGGTGAACAGTAGCATATCCAGCTTAGGACGAATAATACAAAGGGAAATTAAGAAAAAAAATGAATAGTACTAAAAATATATTGACTAAAATGAAAGGTTTCAAATATCAAGAATGATAACTTAATTATAATAAAATTGAGAAGCCGCATGTTCAACGTTAAGTGTACCTATTGAAAAGTAATAAAAAATTCTTAAATTAAGTTTCTACAATATCGTCTCATAAAAATTGTTTATAATTATTGAAAATATCTTAATTTAATCGCATGAACTAAAATAATGCATAATAGAATAAGAAAAATTTATAAAAGATTTAAATTAAATAGTAATGAGAAGAGAAGAGCACAACACAACTTTTTGAGAAGAAACTATTCAAGATGAACATAAGGCATACGATTTCACCTTCACAATTCTTTATGTTTACTTTTAGTTTAACCCTAATCGAGATTTCTTACTATCATCAATCACTCAATTTAAAGCTACTGACGCTTAGAGATCATACAATATTAATATTCTTTTTTCTAAGCTATCACTCCTAATGGTCATGCAAGGTAGAAAGAGTGAAAAAACATGAAGAGCTTTTGAGCTTGTTAATTCGATAATTAATTGAAAGATAAAAACTAAGTTTGATTCACTTAATTTTCTATCCTGTTTTATCCTATAGTTTCATTAATTACTTATAGCATAGTCACCTATCATTGTAATTAACTATTGGAGGTTAAGAATGATCAAGTCCCAATATAAAAACATAGGCATGCTAGGACAAATGTTAATCTTGAAGAAATCAAAATTGTAATTAAAATGGAAGATCACATAAAGTGCGTAAAGGATCCATCATAGCCCTCGTTATGAATTTAGCTACACATAACAAAATAGGAATTTTTTTTTAAATGAAGATAGGTCGTAAAAGTGCTCTAAAATATAGGCTTATCAATCCCCTTATACTTCAAGCAAAGTCCTGACCAACAAAAAGGGAACAACTTGAAGCATATAATTGCAAAAGGAATCCAAAAACTTACAAGATCAGAAGAATAAAAAGAGTAATATTAACATAGGGCAGTCAGAAAGTTTCTCAATAAGAGTCTTATATTTCCTAACTTTTCACCCAAATACCAAACTAGGCACTTTACTTTCTTCTCTCTCTAAGTGCTTAAGAACAAAAGACCAATAGCTTTTGATTACCACTTTTTCTTTGGGATAAATGTCTTCTATACTTGATCATATAATGTAATTCATGAATGATAATTGAGAATTTTAAGTTATTCATTGAGATAATTTATTATTAAATATATTTTATTCATATTTCAAGAAAAAGGATTAAGAAGTGAGAGCTTAAAAGATATTGAGAATTGAAACAAGAGAAGAACCAAAGATATATACAGGCAAGTACATCCCGTGTATATAAATACGTACCTTACTGGTCGCGTTCATTTGAAGTACATTATCAAAACCAAAGATGTACATAGTCAAAGTACATGACCATTGTACATTGGCGTGTAATTTTCAGAAAAGTTATGAAGGGCAAATGTTAAAGACTAGACATGTACACGGTCAAAGTACATGGCCGTGTACTTTTCAGAAAATTTGTGAAGGGCAAATGTTAGAGACCAAAGGTGTACACGGTCAAAGTACATGGCCATACACATAGGCGTGTACTTTGTATATACGTCAAAATTGAACTTTTGGCACAAAAATCTAGGGCACGCTGTTTTTGAGAAAGAAAAGAGTCAGTGACAACCGGAGAGAATGCAATCAAACTCTCTAATTTCTCTCTTTTGTAATTATAGTTTCTACATATTTACGTTCTGATTTTCTCTTGAGTATCTAGATGTAATGAATTCTATGTGACCAATTCTTCTAGGATTCTTCTAGAATTCAAAATTTTAAGAAATTCTACTAATTTCTAACTTATAAACCCATATAAGGATAAAACATCACTCAACTTATATCAAATCTATGAATATCTTTTTCTTCATTGTTTTCTCTATACTAACAAAGTTATTCTCTTTCACAACTATAAGTACCTTTTTTACCATCTTTCTTTATTCTCTCGTCCTTTTTTTTCTCTCTTTATTAACATTAAAATATCTTATTATTTTGACCTTTTGTTTACCAGTGTTTCATTCATTTAGATGTGAGACTATTTGCTTAACATAACTTACAAACTCAAGTTTCAACGAGACAAAGAATCGATTTTGGTTTGAGATAAAAAAAACTCAAATGCAAAAATTTTGAATCTCAAATATACAAATTCAAGTTTAAATATAATAAAAAAAATTAATTTAAATTTATTATAAAAAATTACGAAGGAAGAACTTTTAAATTTTAGATTTACTATTCATATTTTAGAGAATAATTATAAAAATCACTCTCTAAATGACCCTTAGAGAGTCGTTATATGAACCACTAGTAGTAGTAAAACTGCTAGTGAAGGTAGGGTAAAAAAGTTTGAAAGATGATAAAAGAAAAGAGAAAGAAAAAGGAGAGTTGATAAAAAATTTCTCTTATTTAAAAAGGCATTTTTTAAAGAAGATAAAATTTATATTTAAATAAATATATTTCAAAATAATATTTTTAAATAAAAAATATAAATTGATATATTACCATAAACTTAATATATTTGTCATTATAAATTATATATAATTATTTTAAAATTAAAAAATATGTCTTTTTTTACTAAAAATCTCCTTCCAAACATTATATATAAACCAGAGGAAGCTAAAACATGTGAACAGAAAAGTTGTAGAGAATTTATAAAACCTTTGTCTCTTATCTAAAAATTCACAGGCAACTTATCATTAAATAAACATTTTCATCCCTTCTATTATCCTCCCTTTCATTCCTTTTAAAAAAAAATAATTTCTAAATAAAATTTTAATTTCTTAAACAGATTTTAATTTCAACATATTAACGTTAAAATGAATTGACATATGCTTTTTCCTTAAAAATTGTTCACATTTTAATATTTCATTCTTGTCTTTTACATTTTAATTCTCTATATAAAGTTTATTTCATACAAACCTCACCTCCCTCACTTTCATTCTCAATAATACAAGGCCACATTGTCATCACTAGGAACCTTCGTCTATCATAGCTTCGTATGAATCCAGCAAACATTAATACTTTGCTAATGGTGAAGAAGTTGCAAATCATCATTGTCACCACATTGTTATCATTATGGCACTGTTATGGTGGAAGATAGTGGGCAGAATAATGCAGTTAGACATAGCAAACGTGTAACACGGGTTCCTTTGCGGTTTAAGAACAGTTAATAATAATATATGTAGTGGGCGAAGAGTTTTAGGGAGTAGGTAGATTTTGGATGAATCTCTTTGCTCTCTGTGTTTGTCTTTGACTTGTCTTTCCTTCTTTTATTTGTAATTTCTTAAATTCTATACTGCACTTCCTTGCTTTTCTGGTGTAATTCCTCACTGCAGGACTGACTATTACCATTGAATATAAATTAATCAAAAGAATTCTTTTTTTACATGCTTTCTACGTATTTACACTTTGCTAGTAGGAATTAAATTGACGGAACCCATTATAGTTACTACCAAATTGTCACTGTCAAAACTACCATTACGATTCCTTCCTCAAATATTATGAAACTAAACTTTGAATATTTATTCTATAGTTAAAGGAAAATTAATTTTTACATTTTTAAAAAAAATAAACATTTCAATAAATGTTTGCGATTAATTAAGATCAATTTTAACATGCAATTTAGTCATAACGATAAATATTAATTTTAACAGACCTTTTAATTTTACTTAACTTTGAAACAAACAAAAACATATGTTGAGGATTAGAATGTAGAAAATAAGAATAAAAGATTAAAATGCAAATGAATTTGGAGAACTAAAATTAAGATTTATATAATAAATAAAATAAATATAATTTCAAACGAGCTAGACAGATCACAAATATAGAATGGATTTAACAGATAATTCTATAAACAAAAAACAATAGTAGTGTTAATACAAAAAAGAAAAAAAAAAACACTTCCATTTAAGCCAGCGACTTCCTTATAGAGTTTCTGTTCTGATGTGTAAAATTTCCTAATCTGAAAACACGTACCGTAACATAATTCTTTGGATGGCTTGATTTTAAGTTTAACAAAATACATTAGAAGGACAAAAAAGACATGGTTTACTTGGCTTGGTACATAATGCCCAACTTATGTTGTTGTCTACTAATAATCAGAACCTAAAAGCTGTAGAAGAAAATCCTTATAATTTCCTGATGTGTCTGAACGAACAGCATGGGTTAATGGCTTTTCATATCTCTTATAATATGCTATTTTTATATGGTACATGTCTATCTCAGTCCTTGTTACAATTACCCTTATTAGTCTACTATCGTCTGTTCCCACACCCTTCATTGACTTGCGAAGAATCTGCAAAAAATAAAGTGCGAACATTATTTTGTTGGCAAGGTCGCAATTAATAATGTAATTGACACATATCAGCACAGCAAAAAGCCTTATATCACAAGTTAGGAGTGGATAAAACCTATCATAACTTTTGATTCAACAGAAATGTAATATTAAATGGGATGTACTTACGTATAAAGGTTGATGAAGAAAGGTTAGTTAAGTTGTATAAAGCACCGGTAAACAACAACTCGTGAGAAAGAAAGGGAATACTAAACAGATAATTAGAATACATGATAAATTTACAACAATATCTTACTTTTATCTTACAGTAATAGTATCTAAATTAAAGCTAGTTTTCATATTTTAATATTTACTCAATGTGTTTGAAAATCCAACAATATCATGATAAATCATGTTTTAATATGAAAGTTATGACCTACAGCATTAAAATAATTCATATTTGAGTGAATTTCATGTAAAACCAAACAAGTTATTAAGTATGTTTTTGTTTTGTCAAAGTATATCAAAATTTTATATCAGTTCGTGCAAAATTATTTTTAGTTTCTAAATTTTTAAAATTATTTCTTTTAATCACTTTCATTGATGTGCTTTTAGGTAAACGAAACAAGTGAAAACATCTAAGTTTGTCATATATCATTTAACAGTGACTAAGAACTAAAATTAATAATTTTAAAAATATAGAGACTAAAACAAAAATATACTTTTATAAAGATCAAAACTAAAATACAATATACTTTAAGAGAGCAAAAATATATTTAATCCTTCAGGATTAATACAAGTCTAAACAGGGATTATAGTTTATCTTTTATGTCACATTGTAACATATGTAACAAATCATATTTTGTCAAATGAATAGTCTATTTGATAAAAATAATTGATAAACTAGAAATAAATGAAAAACTAATTTTTTTTTCCTAAAAGCTATTGGGTGACTGTTAAAATGTTAAGCATTTAGCTTATTAAATTATAATTATTTGATAAAATTAATTATTTATCAGATTAATAAATTTAAAATGACATAAAAAGACATGTGTATATTTTTTATAGAAAAAATTATTATTTTGTTGAAAAATTATATTTTTAAGTGATTGTAATTTTAGGGTTTTTTTTTTGTTGATAATAAACTATTATTATATTTTTTTTAAAGATCTAATATTGTGTTAAAATTTTAAAAATATTATAAATAGTTCAATAATTAAAATAAGTAGTATAATATTAAAAAAAATCTTAAAAAAATATAATAATTAAAATAAACATTTAAGATACATTTGATTGTGTTTTATTATGTAATCCCCAAAATAATGAACAAAATAAAGAGGGGATAAGGAGGAACTTTATTAAAATATTATTGATAAAATAATAAAAACTTATAAGCTACTTATACACTATTTCAAGTATTGTATGAAAAAAATGTTATAAGTTAGTAAACTAAAATTATTTACTAAACAATTCTATTTTAATCAAACAAACCTATAAAATTTAAATATATTGGCTACAAGCTACTTGGAATAACCAACCAAAACACTTAATATCAAAATCAAAATATTCAGTCTTTATTCTCTCTCTGTCCCTCGTTTTTTTGTTTTTCTTTTCAACAGATGAATCCCAATAGTATCATCAAGTAAGAAAGATTTTATTAGGGTGTTGAAGAAAAAAGTACACAATTTTTCACTCTTTGATACTTCATAATAAAAAGAAGAATGCTAACAAGTTTTAGAGTATTAGATTAAGAATTACAAGCGAAAACTTTTTATGAAGGTGTCAGCAACACACACTCCAGCTGTGATTTCGAGTTCAACTTCATCAGGGTTTTCAATAATTTTTTATTTATTGATTGATTATTTAACCAGTTCTCTTAAAAATAAAATACTCATTAACAAGACTCTTATAAGAACGTACAGAAAGAACAAAATCTAACAGTAAAGCATGATTAAGATAGAAGTTTCGGATAATGGCAACATGGGAACAACGAATACCTTGGCAAAGTACATAGCAGGGTCAGTAGCACAACGTAGTATGGTCAAGAGGCTCTTCTTGAATGAGCCTGATGTTTCTTTCTTTACTGCCTGCATGAGAAAGATGAGTTGGAATCGGCACATCCAATAAAGAGGAAAAGAAAAGTAAATCATTATCTACGAAAATCTTCGATGTACCACTAAAATAAGGTATTTTTATGTTTGTTTTTTTGTATTTGAAGTATCTATTAAAAATACGTGTATTCATGTGAAAGATAAAAGTAATGCTATATATATAGTATCACATATGACCCAATTTAGAATAACTTCTAGAAAAAAAAATTATAAAAGAAAAATTAATAAATATAAAAAAAATGAGAGTTTCTCAAAGAAATAAAAATTGTTTCTAATTTATAAAATAAGTTTTATTCATATTTTATATTTTTTTCTAACTTTTTCTCTAAGTTAAACAGTCTTAATTGTTAAAAGTTTAAAATACTTATTTGAAGGCATATGGATAAATATAAGACCTTTTCGAGTGAGTGATCATATAAAGCTTTGTAAGCAGAGTCAACTGCAGCCAAATGTGTGCTGCTTCTTTCACTGAAGATCTTTATGAACATTTTCTCATCAGTTCCAAATCTTTTCTCCCCGGATTTATACAATTGTTCTGCATCCTGTTGTACTATTACAGTATCCAATTCTGGCCCTTCATAACGCGGTGTACTTACATACGCAAGCAACAACTATTAAATTATCACAGATTAAAAAATCAGGATCTTACACAAGTTTCATAAGGCTAAGTGTTCTAGCTTGAATATTGTAAGAGTTTGATCAATCACAAGAATTGGCTTTCTAAAATTGAAAATACACAATACACTTTCTATTCTCTAACATAGCATTATTTGGGTTGTTGGGTAAATATTACTGGATCTAATTAATAAAGAATGAGCCCATATTATTGAGTCGATTTAGTTGTATTTCACCCAATAATTAAGTTGTTGAAAAAAATAGACTTATGAGTGTGTTATTGACATTTCTCTTAAATTATAAAAGAAAATATAATTTTATTCAGGATTAGACTAAATATATTATTACTATAAAATTTTCAATTATTTCATCAGGCAATTTCAGATTTGCTAACATGAAGTTTCGAGTGACTTGTGAAAACAGTCTCAACTTTTAAGGTTTAACAGGTGATGGCTTCTTGGACGAATCCTATGTTATAATTCCTAAATTTTCCATTCTTAAACTACCTGCCTAGTTTAAGAATGGAAAAGCATGTTCTGGGACCAAATCTGATAACTTTAATAACCAATATAAAGCATAGAGATTTGGGTCTCTATGAAAAATAATTAGCAATTATGAAATGAAATAAATTGAGATCCTATCCAAATTTAAGAGTCTTGTAATATTTATCTTAACAAGTCTTAAGTAAGCTTTCTTGTCACCATATTTAGTCCATGCAATGCATACTCCTGGATTGGGTATGAGTCATATATGAGACTAGCTATATGAAAACATACAAGAGGTTTCCTTATCACTAATAGTCAATGCTCTTGAAAATTCTATGCAGGCTGGAAGTTTTATGTTATAAGCACCACAACCACCAATATCCCAACCAATAATAGAAAAAGTAGAAATTAATTCAAAACTCCTTACAAATTACATATTAGCAGACACTAGTGTTCCATGGAGAAAAGGGACTACGAAATTATCTAGCTATTGATGATTAAGAGAATCTTAGAGTTAGGGTACGTAAAGACACCAAAAGAATTGGTATATCTTAACATGCAGGCAACTACCAGCTTGAAAAAGATAACAATTAGATTGGATATATTGAATAGAGACTAGGCTGGATCAATTGATGATAAATGTTATACATTCTTCTCAGGAAGTAAAAAAACCATTACATGGTCATCAAAGAAATAAAAGACCTTTGGTTCATTGTTAGAAAGTGAAGAATTTGTCCAAAAAGCATCTCGAAGGTTAAGAAACAAAATCAACCCCCCCCCCCTCCCCTTGACAGTATTTTGTGACAATCTTTGATTACCATGACTAAAAATCCTATTTTTCTTAACCACAGGAAATGCATTGAATTGTTTTTCATCATTTATTAACATAATAGAAATCATTGGTATGACTTGTTGGATTCTAATTCAATATATGATTGCACATAAGATATATAAATCATACTATATATAGATAATGCACAACCAAAAACTCATTGCAAAAGATAGCAGAGGTAAGGGGATGGATGAAGCACCTTTTTGTGATCACCACTTGTTTGGCTTTCGATGTCACCCTCAAGATTGGAATGATAAGTTGACAAATAAACTTCTTTTAATCTTCTCAATTGTGATGGGGTGCGAGAACATATAATCTCTGTAATGGCTTGATTATCAACGACCTTTGCAGTTAAGGCTCGTTTTGCTACATAAGCATCCCGAGATCCAGGATCATGCAGCCAAAGCAAAAGTGCTTTCTGAAAGCATTTAGAAGCAAGATGAGTAAGAGATATGATCGATGCAAACTTATGAAAAAGATGTTGTTTTCTTATTTGAGAGGGTAAAAAATGCATCTTCAGTTATTTCTCAGCTATTCAGTGATAACACAAAAACTGTGACCTTTGTCTATTTACCTTGACATTCCCATGAAGCTCTGAAGATATCCGTTTGGAAAGTAGTTCGGAGTAAGTAGTTTCATATTCTTGTTGAATGAGGCTGCGTTGTTCTGAGTTCCTGTGAGAAAGGATTTTGATAACTTTAGACGTGTCACAGCCAATGCCTGTAATAAGAAATACATGACATGATGACTCAAATGGTGATTTTTCATCTTGTTTCTATATAAGCATAAAGAGAGAAGGGAACTATATATTTTCCATTTTCAGTGTGATATGAAAAAAAGAAAAAGAAAAGACAAAATACAGGAAAAGGAGAGCACGTTATTTGAAAGAACAACATTATTATTTTTCACATCACATTAGAATTTTACACTAATCTTTCCTTATTCAACCATTACATAGCTTATGGTTGAGTCAAGCAAAAATTGATGATAAGGAAAGGGTCAAAGAGTAATGTGCAAATGAAGGTGAAGGTGAAGCAATGAGGGAAAAATTCAGGTATAAAATTTGGCAGAGGATCGATGAATTTGATTTGTAATATGAGAAATATGTTTGGTGATATCATGCTTTGTCAAATTTTCCTTCTCTTTACCTTCTTTTCTGCTTCATCTTTATCTATTTCTTCCTTTTTTATTACCTCTACTAAACAAACTAAAGATGTGCCTCTCCGTTGTAGTATTAATTTTGTCCATGCAATTAAATTAAATCATTTGATAACATTATCATATTCAGCCTTCAACAGAATAGAAATTAACTACATTTGTTATGGTATTTAAAAAGGATCACACTATTTCAATTTATGGTGTTTCCTCAAATGACATTTAAGCTATGCATGGTGGTTCTAAAAGGACTTCAACGTGTCACATTGGTGTTGAAAAACATTGCAATATCAAAATGTGTGCTTTTTTACGTGCATTAATTAACAACCTTTGAAAGCTTTATGCAGCTTGACAGCATCTTCTCGAGGCGTTGGTATCAATGGAGGGACGGTCAAAGTTGACATTGTCAATCTTTCTTCTAGTTTTGTGTGTCTCTGCCAAACAAATTAAACAAAACATGCAAACTGAAAATAAAGGGAATTTTGTGAAGTTATTACGGGGAAGTTAAGTTGTTTTGTTTCATTATCTACTCGTCACATTTAGAATGAGATACACCATAATCTTAGGTAACACTTCATAGAGAAATCAAATTTCAATTTGCTAATATTGGTGTCTTTTATCATCTTAAATTTAGGACACAAAATTTCCCTAAACTAATTTTAAGGGCAACAACCAACAAATAGTACATTAGAGCAATGGCTGCGAGATGCATGCATCTAGAGTTACGCATATCCTTTTAATTCGTTTATATTGCATAAATATAAAAAATGTAAAAATTTTTATTACAGATTTTTTTTTTACCCATGATTAAAATATGTTCATAAATTAATATAATTAAAATACGTGAAAATATTGTATATGAAGCGAATAGCTAAAACATTTGAAGGAGAAAGCAAACAACATAAAACCATGAAGGCTGAAAATCTTTGTTGGGTTGGGAAGGAAAAGGTGTCTTGTTTCCGGATCAATGCATGTGCCAGAAGACTCACAGAGAGCTTAATAGATCAAAAAGTTTCGTTATTCGAATAATTGAAAATTAATATTGTGATATTAAATGTTGTCCTTTTTAATCTTTTATTTTATTTTTATATATCTTTTCTATATACATACATCTTAAAAATAAATTTAAAAAAAGTAAATGAGACACCAAAAAATTATCTCTAAAATTAAGTTGTTTATATTTTCTTAAATATTCATTACTTTTCATTTCAGCTGCATTTCTCTTGTATAATTTGAATTTGGAGAATATTTTTTGAACAGGTTAGATGCTTTGTAATATTTAATAAAAAATAAATGAAAAAAACTTAAATACAGTTCCATAAACATTTTTGTTATTATTTTTCAATAAAAAATTTAAAATTTTACCCCAATAAAAGATAAGCATTGAATATTATAATATATTACATATAAGTAAAACTCTAATTTTATTTAAAAACTAACACCGATAATATTTAATAAACTATACCTAAGTTTTGTCTAAAATAAATTAAGTATAACAATGAAAGCTTAACTTACATCTAACATGTTATAATTTATTATTTGATTGGTCGTTAGATGTAAGTTAAATGAAAGGTTCAGATTGAGTGTGAGAGTTTTTAGATTTACACTGATGTAAGAAAGTCCTTTTTCATATATATAAAAGGAATTTTAAAAATGTTGTGAGAAACTATTTTAAAGACTTAGAAAATTATTGCATCTACAAAACATGTTTATAAAGATAAATCAACGTTAATAAAAGTGTTACAATATTAAAGATAGAGTGGTTTTTACACTAACTTCGATACTATGTAAGATTGATTCCATTATAATCATTTGTTTTTTTGATAAAAATTATTCTTTTTTTTCTATCACTTTATGAGGTGATCTTCTCAAAATTCTAACTCCATTTGGATGATTAGAGATTTTCTTTCTCCTAGTACATATTGAGTTTTTGGTTGGCAGAGAATTTGAATATTTTTTAGGAAATGCTTGGATTGCTATATTTGTTTTTGTTTAGGGTTGGTAAGCCAATTTAATTCTCAATTTCTTAACTATTCAAGGTTATGTTTGCTCAAATTTTTTTAGGTAAGCTAATAATAGTTAGGATAGAAAAAACATAGTTTACTTTAATTTGTTTGATTATGTTGAGAAGATGGGATGGCTAGTTAGGTAAATGACCTAGTTTGGGGGTTGTTTTCTTGGCAGATGAACTATATGAAGTAAATGACCTTGATTGATGTTTAGTTAGCTCAAGTAAGGCTTGTGAACTCCTTTTATCATTAGTAAAGGCTAAGGTTGCTTTCTTTAATATGCACCTATTTTTTTTATAAGTAAACATGAGTGAGATAGTTAAATAGAGAATTTGAAGTGTCTTTGAGATATTTAATCTCAAAATAAAAAATACTTAAAAGTTAAATAACTTATTATATTGCAAAAATTTGTTTCGATGCTAATTTTTTAACATCTTTTTGTAATATATTTTTAGCTGATTTACAATCGACCTTGATCAAGAACTTTTGATTTAATAAATTTAATTAAAATTTTAAAACACAAAGAACAATTGCTAAACCTTCTATTTTGATGATGGAAAATTTTTGTTGTGCAAGATTTCAATTGTTAGAAGTGTATGCAATAACATTATTTTTTTATTTAGTATTTACTGAGAATGTCACTCAAGACATTTGTTTCAACAAGTTTGAAAGATTGAGGAGTTAGAAGATAAAGATATGGAATTTTGAATTTGAAGTTTGATTTGTTTAACAATGTTTGTATAGAGGTCAGTCTAGGGAGGAGGATTTTTTTAAGACAATCATGTAAAGGTTTAATTATGTTGTTTAATTGTGGCACAAAGTCACCAACATCATAAGAATCTTTATAATTAATTTTTGTTAATGATTTGATTCATGAATTTATCAACAAACTTCGTAGATCTATTAATTGGAGTAATGGTTCCCTAATGGATTATCTAAACTAAGAATCTAATTTTTGTTTAGAAAAGACTATTTTTTTTTACTGAGAGGCTGTAAAACCATTTTTTTATAGTATTAACAAAATTATTTATATGTTTGAAATGTTGATCAATCAATTGAGAAAAAAATCAACACAACATCAATGTAAACAATGATAAATTTTGAATAAGGATTGGAAATACTATTCATGATTTTTAGAATTTAAAAGGAGCATTTTTTAATTCAAAAAGCATTACATTCCATTCATATTTTTCAAAGGGATGATAAAGGCAATTTTATACTTATCTGACTCTTAAGTTTGGATTTGTCAATATACTAATTTAATGTCAAATTTTGAAAATATTTTTGTTGAGTGAAAATGATTTAAGAGATATTTTTTCATTTAGGATAGGATACTTAAGCCATTGAAGATCTTGATTCAATGGTTTGTAATTAGTGACTACTCAAAAAGTGATTGTTTCTAATTCAGCTTGTTTATTGATATAAAAGGTAGAATATAACAAAGGACTTTTACTTTTCTTAATGAGATTTTTATTAAGGAGATCCTGATCCTCTTCTAATAATATTGAAATAATTTATTGTTCATTTGAATAGACCTTTTTTCAATAAAAATTTGTCTTTCAATAAAATATTTATATAAGGTAGATGAACAATTTTTTTTCTATTTTTAGTTAAAATTAAAATATAAATAATGCTATTGTGTACATAGAAATATATATGTTAGGATTTCTTTTACTAATGATTTTTGCTAACTAACTTATTAAGAAATTAAAAGTATAAAATATTTGTTAAAAATATATTAAGATTATGAAAAAAATATACGTTAATAATTTTTTATTTTAACCTGATTAATATTTTCTTTGATGAATTAGTTTGAAATTTATTCTAAAAAAAATGTTAGTAAAATATATCTATTTTTCTATAAAGGTCATGTTTGAATGATAATTGAAACAGTGGAGAAAGAAATAGAAGGATGAGAAATAGGGTAAAAAATATTAATGTTTAGATTGGTTGAAATAAGCGAGAAGAAAATAATAAAAAGAATTATTTTTACTTATTTAGATGAATAAAAAAATTGTATAAAAATAATTAAATTATTCAAAAGATAATAAAAAAAGTTATATTTACAAACTTTCGGATGGATCCTAAAATTCACAATTATTAGCAAAAGGAGAAAATTATACATTTAAAGTATCAAGGAGACAAGACAATAAAATAATTATTCCAAAACACATAAGTAAACAAGAATTATACCTAACCTAATCATAGAATAAAAGTGATACACCTTTCAAGATATACACCCTAACTCTTAAGATCAAAAGTGGTAGAACACATGCATGTTAAGATCAAAAAGACTTTTATTAAGGATATAATGAATTTAGGTATCAGTGGATAAGAGAAAATTTTTTTAAGTAAGAACCAAAGAGATTAAAAGAATAATTAGGAACAAGTTTAAATCATCACAAAAACATGCCTCAAAGAAAAGTATATAAAATGAAAAGAAAAATAATTAATAAAGGTTAATTAAATGAAAAGCAAAAGCATGATATATATATAAATTTTTAATATTTTATTTTTTCTTTTTTTTTCTTTTTCTCTTTTTTTCTTTTTTTGTCAACAAAAATGATATCAACAATAAATAAGAAAAAATGACAAAGAATACAAGCAAAAAAATTTTTATAAGTACTTTACTCAAAAAATTTATACAAGTAAAAATAAAACACATATTAAGTTACAAAAAGTATATATCGTTACATATAATTTATTTAAAATTATATTATTTATATTATATATATATTTTATATTAATTTTTTTTTATTTTTCCTATCATTTTTTTATAAAATTTTAGTTTTGAATAAAATATAATTTTTATTTAAATAATTTTTATTTATTATAAAGAAAATAATTAAACATAACATATTAATATAATAATTAAATAATTCAATAGTAATAATAATAAAATTAAGAATATAAAAAATATATTAATATAATATTATTATTTTAAGTGTAAATTTTATTTTGTTTAGTTTTGATTGAGTTTTATTCCTGATCAAAGACTTAACCACTCTTTAACTTGTTTAAATCTAATAAATATGATAATTTATTATTAAATAAATTTATTTTTTAAAAAGTGTAATCGTGTATAAATATTTTTAATTTTTATAGAATATAATTTCTATTAAATATAATTATAAATAAAAAGAATTATAACATTATATATTAATTTAATAATAATACAATTAAAATATAAAAAATTTATTATTAAATAAATTTATTATTTAAACATGTTTTGACAACTTTAATTTTAAATTATATATATATGAGACAAGATCTTCTTACATCGTTGTAAGTTTAAAAACTTTTATACTTAATTTGAGTATTTTATTTAACTTAAATTTAACAAATTATAATTTATTACTTCATTAGCAGTTAGATGAAAGGTTCAGATTAAGTAT